AACCTCCTTGTTTATCGACGATGTTTCCCAGGTATGTGAAGGATTCCACGTCTTCCAGAGTTTCGCCATCAAGAGTGATTGGATTGCTGTTCTCCGTGTTGTGTTTGAGGACCTTGGTTTTCCCTTTGTGTATGTTGAGGCCTACTGATGCAGAGACTGCTGCTATGCTGGCTGTCTTTATCTGCATTTGTTCGTGTGTATGTGATAGGGGGGCTAGGTCGTCTGCGAAGTCCAAGTCGTCTAATTGGTTCTGAGCTGTCCATTGTATGCCGTGTTTCCCCTCACATGTCGAGGTCTTCATAATCCAGTCGACCACCAGAAGAAACAGGAAGGGAGAGAGTAAACAGCCTTGTCTGACTCCGGTCCTTACTTGGAATGCCTCTGTCAGATGTCCTCCATGCACTACTTTGCACTGTAGTCCGTCGTATGAGTTCCGGATAATGTTGACAATCTTCTCAGGAACTCCGTAGTGTCGAAGAAGTTTCCATAACGTCCTCCTATCTACACTGTCAAATGCCTTCTCATAATCAATGAAGTTGATGTAGAGTGACGAGTTCCACTCAATTGATTGTTCGACGATGATCCGTAGTGTCGCAATCTGGTCTGTGCACGACCGGTCCTTACAGAATCCAGCTTGTTGATCTCGAAGTTGAGCGTCAACTGCGTCTTTCATCCTGTTCAGTAACACTGTTGAAGACTTTACCTGGTATTGACAGTAGTGTAATGCCTCTGTAGTTTACACACTTGCTCAGATCTCCTTTATTTGAAATCTTGATGAGGTGTCCTTTCCAATCCATCGGCACTTGTTCCTCCTCCCAAATCTTCTAGAATAGAAGATGAAGCATGCTTGTAGTTACTTCGATGTCTGACTTCAACGCTTCAGCTGGTATATTGTCAGGTCCTGCTGCTTTCCCGCTCTTGATTTGTCTGACGGCCATTCTGATTTCTTCGGTCGTTGGTGGATTGACATCTATAGGAAGATCTGCGTGTGCTGCTTCGATGTCCGGTGGATTCATTGGATCCGGCCTGTTCAGGAGTTCCTCGAAGTACTCTGCCCATCTGTTGCGCTGTTGTTGAATCTCAGTGATTGGTCTTCCTTCTTTGTCTTTGACTGGTCTCTCTGGTTTACTGTATTTCCCTGCTAGCTTCGTCGTATCGTAAAGCTGTCTCATATTTCCTTCTCTTGCAGCTTTATCCGCCGTCGTTGCTAGTTCTTCCACGTATTTTTGCTTATCAGCTCTAATGCTCTTCTTCACTTTCTTGTGTGCTTCTATGTACTCTGCTATCCACAAATACTGGCATATGATAATCGGGGTGTGAGAATATAATGCAAATGGGGAACGCCAAATCGGTCATAATATTGAGACCAAAAGACCCTAAATTATTTCGTGGAGGAGGATAGTGTTGTAAAATCTATGATTCGAATTCTAGATATCCATGCCTTCACTACACAAGAGACATGGTGACCGCATATAGTTCCGAGACCCAGGTGAGTCCGTTCCAATTCTAGTTGTTAATTCTAATACTAATGAGTACATTCTAGATCGAACAGAGTCTATATTCAACACACAATCGGACAGATAGATAATGAACTTAAAGAGAAGAGGTACGACTGATCGCAGAAATTTTGATTTTGATTTAAGCTGTGGAGGATGTGGTGAACTAACTATTCACTTGTACTTGTTGAATGCTTGTTTTCGAGATCTAAATACACTATGTTCGTCCGTGTTCATTTAGTACTTCATGGTTAGATTTTATTATTTCTGGAATTCCTAGTTCGTACTATAATTCAAATACTTTTAATCATCACAGTGATCCCCTGACGTTGTAGATGTCCCTTTTCTTCTTACCTCACCTTCCACATCTATTTCATTCCAGCATATAACGACCGAAATATCAGTATTTCAACTGAAGGCAGACCTATTGAATCAAGGTTTATTAGATTAGGCCAAACTGCGTTCTTTTGTTTGGCGTACAAAGTATTTTTAAGTGACTCATATGAAATTATATCAAAACACAAATTGTGTTCAACTTAAACGGCTCTAATTTGACGAAGACAACAAATTATATCAAAATTACAAAATACCTCAAAAGGTACAGACTGTGCTATACAGTCAAGGGGTTCTCTAACACAAATTAGCGTGCTAAACAACAAAAGGGATGGTTAATACACAAGAGTTCAGTAGATGGGAATTATTAAGATCGGACCAAATATCTGTCTGCAGGAATTCCAGTCCTCCTTCTAAGCAGACAGTCAAGGGTTAGCAATTATACACTGAAGCACGCCGTGATCTAGAGTTCAGTCAAACACGACCTTATTGTCAATGGTCCGACGATATGCAATGGTAAATCAGGTAATAAGAGGAGAGTCTTTGACCAAGATCAAACAAAGAAACACACAGACACAGAAGAATGAAGAACATAATTTGTGGTTTAAAAGAGACCTAGATGAAGGTTAAAATACAACACAGGGAGAACAAACAAGTAAATGACAATTCTGTCCAACAAAATGCTGTGGGGGGTTTTCAGTTTGTTCTTTCCGTTACAAGGTCGAACTGTTTCAATAGAAAGTAAGTTGCTGCCAATAAACCCTGTACAGTTCGAGCGGAGGATGGTGATCCATGAATGAGTATGTAGCTGTCAAGTCTGCTCTTGAATCTAACCGCTGGATAGGCTGTTGCCATTTCTGTCAATGTGACATTCTAGACGAATGCAACTTTTAATTATAATATTGGAACGTATCTGAGTTTTCGTTATTTTGATGCACAAATTTCCAAAGAATGTCTCACAATGTCCGTTAAAGTTGACGTAAGGCATATCTGTGTTGAGTCAACCTGGCACAATTAATAACGTTGTGTGCTACGATTAGATCAACTCTCATACCAGAATGATACGGCTGTTCATTGATTGCGAGTTTCTTATGGTAATCTAGCTAGTATCACTTGGAGATTCAGCTATGAGAAAAGATTGTGAACCTCGATGTGAGACATTCGATCACATGTAATTCTTAAGTGACTGCACTAACAATTGTATTTACCTTGCTACATTCCTCATCTTGAGTTCAAGTTCCCAGTGGTTGTTCTCAAATCGTATCCTGAAGAGGCTGATGGCAGCGGATTATTATAAAGAGCGTAAGACTATAGGGAGGTAAAAAATGTCATTAAGCCGCAAACAGATCATCCAGAAGACAGGTCAGTGAATGTCGGACAGTTTACCAGCCCTTTCCAAGGCGAAGGACAACTAATATAAGTCAATTAGTTGCGCTCCATGGACTGGACATATACAATGATCAAAGTCTCTTTCTTCTACCTAATCTTGCCTATATATATCTACAATGACGTCGTGGTTGTTTGATGCAATCATCAAGGTATTCAAAGTATTTGGATATGATGATATGATAAATAATTTCACGTAGGCCAGGAGGTCATGCTATTCTCGTGCGATTCAAGTAGCTACAGACCATAGACACAGATCACCTGGGCTGGCTACGTACAAGTTTTTCGAGTCTCATGAGGCCGGAGGTTCATGACACTAAATTTCAACAGTACAACGTCCATTTTTCTATGATGGTGTAGTTCCTCGGAAACTCGTCTGAACCACGTTCATCTCTACTAAGCCCTAATGCCCTGAAGTTGTTGGTGTACGTAAGATCTAGTGATCCCTTTTTGTCTAGAAGTTCAATAACAGCAAAAATTGGAAGGAAAACTGGACCTATGTTTTGTATAATGGCTGATCCCAAGATTGTTCAGATTGTAAGCACTTCTTATACTTTGGCGATGAACACTTGATTTTCTAGGCAACTCCTTAGCCAGAATAAACGTGGGTTGCTGAGATCCGTTTTAGCAATTTTCGCTGTAAGGAGTGTGTGGCGTTATGTTAAACACTTTTGAAAAATCAGGGGATCCTACATTAACCGGGATTCTTTGGTTATAGCAGGTTTCCCAGCTGTCCGGATCCATGAGAAAATTAGACGCTCAAGACCTATCTTTTCTTAACCCACATTAGATCTAACGCAGGACGTTCTAAAGTGCATTCGTAATTTACAAATAGTCGATTCAAATGTCGTTCTAACAATAATCATGACAATTATAGAAACGAACTTTCAATTTTGTAGGTTCCCGGAGCAAAACCTCCTAAATACCAAACCAAAGAGAAACCAAAATATCCGAAAATAATGATATAAACAAACAAGTTCAGAAGTTGAGTAAAACAAATACATCCAAAAACACAGTGAAATTAAGAATATTTAATATAAAGATTTCAATCCGTCAAATGTCTTCAGTTTTCCTGTAACACTACCGTCTCATCATTATTCTTTGCAATGTCTGGCTGAGCCACATTTCTGTGGAACAACAATTTAGTACTTTCTCACACCTAAGAGATAAACATGTCATATATTTGAAGCTGTTTCTGTGAATGACAATGAGTTGTAGAATTTATTCGCTATAATTAGCTTAACTTCAACCCAAGTGGCTCACTAAAATATGAATTTCAAAAGGAAACCAAATGTGTTCAATCAACAATTATACCACACACGATAATTAACCGAACAGAGTTATATCTAAAGTCAAATGAATAAAGTATCTAAAAATTGTGTTTATTCCGCCGAATCCTTGCGAATTAATATCTTTTTCGAGATCGATAAACGGCTGCCGAACCAAAAAATGAAATATAACCAAACATTCGAGGTCATTATAATATCAATGATGGATTAACTTCGGTGAATATGTTTGTCTTTTTTAGGGTGCATTTTCAGTGGTAGTAGATATCTCAAGATTAGACTTACAACATGAAAGTACATAATATCATTCATGTCTTATGGTAAATTGTTCTCTAGAAATCTCATCACTATAGCAAACTGTTCGATGGTTTCAAAATTTGATATCAACGAAGTTAAATAATAGTTTCTAGGTAACCTGACTGTGATAATTAGAAGTATTTGAATTATTATACAAACTAGGGATTCCAGAAATATCGCAATTGAATCAAGAAGTACTAGATAAGCATGAACGAACATAGTGTTTTTAGAATTTGAAAATATGCATTCAACAAGTACAAAAGAATCATTAGTTCATACAAACATCACATCCTCCACAGTTTAAATTGGAGTTTGAGTTTCTGTAATCGATTTAAGTTCTCTCCTGATATTCATCCCGTGTCTGTTCGACGATGCATTGGATGTAGACTCTGTATAATGTAAAATGTACTCATTAGTATTAGGATTAACAACTGCAACTAGAACGGACTCACCTGGGTCCTGGAATTGTATACAATTACCATATTGGTTGTGTACTGAAACCACTGATATCTAGAACTTGAATCATAGATTTTCCAACATTATCCTCCCCCCACAAAATAATGTTGGATCTTCATACCCTGAAATTTATGAATAATGTGGCTTCATTTTAAACATATTTCTCACACTGACTAGAGTATTCATTAGAAGTGACTTTATGGTAAGAAGAAACAACAATTGATATGAAACCTTCAGCATTGTAATCAAGATCGAGTTCATTTAGTACTCGTGCTTCGCATTGAACAAGTTTCCCACAAGAAACGAATGCATTAAGAGGATAAGTAATATACATAATATGACATCAGGATTTGATTCTTATGAAATATTTCCCTCAAATTTGTTAAGAATGTCATTGGAAAGTGATTGATCATTGGAAAAATCAGCATCTGTCAAATCTGCATCAGGTTTCCGATCATCATTGGATCCACCCAACATATTTTCCCCAGATTTGTTAGAAACTTCATTAAAAATATGTGGATCATTAGGATAAATCGTATCTGGTACATAACATAAGAAATATGATAAGAGGTCGATCGATTAGAAGCTTTTGTCTCACAACGAATCTGAGTCTTATTTAACTCTGTTACTCAATACCGTTTTTTGAAGTAGTGGATAAAGATTAATGATAATTAGAAACACTCAACTTAATAGGATCACAATTACAAATTTTAGCATTAGTTGAAGCAGAATGAACCTTAATATTAAAAACTAACAGAAATACACATGAATTAAATGAGTGAAGCCTGCCATAGGACAAAAAATAACCAAACTTGTGCTCATCTTCGTCAACCACTTCGCAAGTATTAAACGAATTATCTGCATAACCTTGATTACGCGTTGGACTAAGATAACATAGTAATTTAGTTGAATTTTCGATGTCCTGATAAATCATTTTACGAAATTTCCCTCGTTTACCGCATTTGAAATTTGTATACTTAACATAGTCTGGCAGTAGTTCCTTGAGAGTTGCATAGGGAAGCGAAATAGACTTCTCTGGTGAAGCCAGAGCCTTTAATAAGCTGTTTCTTTTCCGATGAATGAGGGGAAATGTGTCACAATTTTAACATCCTCTACATCGTCCTTGGTCATGGCCCAGATTTCAGACGTTTCCAAATAATCCTCAAAAGCATCAAAATCTGAATGTATGTCCAACCACCCCATCACAAGCACCATCGCGACGCCAATGTGATAATTAGAAGTATTTGAATTATTATACAAACTAGGAATCCCAGAAATATCGCAATTGAATCAAGAAGTACTAGATAAGCACGAACAAATGTACTGTATTTGGAATTCGGAAACAAACATTCAACAAGTACAAAGGAATCGTTAGTTCATACAAACACCACATTGACCCATTCTAATCCAATGACAAAGTCCACTTAGTGTTTGAGTACAGTTCAAATAATAAACACAATTACTTGTGGTTTGCAATCAGAAATATGAGCAAGGCAGGAACGACAATACTTATAGAATATGTTGATTTCACTGAATAGTATTTTTGAATAAATAGAGAATTATGAATCGGATCTATGCTTAGGTGGAAAATACTGAAAAATGTTAACGAATACAAGTAACAGGATGCCTGGCGTTTTGCGCAAACCAATTAACTTTTCGTGAATAAAATGAGACGGTAGTATCTAACGTTACTGCTCTCTGTTTATCTTCCATCGGTTTCCTACCAAGGAAAACGGTAGAATCCGTTGGTATTTGGAAGAAAAAGTACATTGAATTATATGTTGAAATTAGAGAATGCGAGACACTGAAGTTGTCTTTTTAAAAGAGAAAAAGCGTTTAGGATTGGGTCGGACAATGTTGATTGATTGAACGCCTTCTGTTAGCAATGTCCATTAAGATAAGTCAAGATAGTAATAATATTAGCTGTTTACAAAACTGCTTGTTTTAACAAATTATCTTCATAGATTGAAGAAACTGTAGATTAAATATGTACAAAAAAGAAAGCCTAGGCAATCTAGTGATAGGTACCTAAGGTTAAATACCTGAATAATTGTTCCATAAAATCAGCTCTACCCAAAACTTTAGGTATGGGCTGAATGCAAGCTCCTATCTAGATCATTATTCCGCTTGATAATAAATGACTGGACATATTTAATACGTAACTAAATAGATTCGGAGAAGCATTATACTGAATTACAACAACGAAGAGGACAATATTGTTTTCTAAAAAAGATATAAGATCACTTGGGAATTGTAATATCATTGGAGACTTCTGATACATATCCGACGAAGCTGATGACATGTTGCTTCATTTGGTCGGTATACATTTATATCCATAATTATTTGTATTCCGAAAACTTGAGAAACAGACTTATCACAATATTTCGAATTTCACATCCCAGCGGTATCCATTCTTAAAGAAAATAATCATGTTAAGCAAACGTAACAGGATTGACTTCATATATCCTAAATAGACCAAGTGCCTCTTGGCTTTATCTTGATATTTTTAGCGGCTTGTTACCGTTTAAATAGGGAAAATCATGGTAAAATTCTTTTATTTGCTAAGGTTAGCATCAATTGATAAAAAAGTAGTTCTTCGCTAAGCCCGCTATTAGTTATTTCGCATTATTGTGTATCGAACCAATGATCTGTTTCGCCAATAATTTAGCGACCCTGAACAATGACTAAAAAATAGCAACTCCTTTTGGCTCATGAGCTTTATCCAAACCAGTGTTCAATAAGAAGATGAAGTTAACAAACAGATTCTTTCTGCGGTCTAGCATTCTTAATCATCAAAACTCATATGATAATATGTATTTAGTACTAGACCATACGGTAAATCGAGTGGGAATTTATAATGGGTAAGGAATTGAGTAATAAATGGCATAAAACCCCGATATAGCAGTTAAGGCGAAGAATATCTTCATATCTTGCATAATAGCTCTGATGGATTCCCTAAAAACCTATTTTCGTAAACTATAATCGATGGAGTGATCATTTAATAGCCAATAAGTCCACAAAAGAAAGAGTTTAGAAGGCATCTATTGAAAAAATCCAGAATATTCCTCGAAAATATTCCAGAGAGACCCTGAAAACGCCAGGAAACATTTTATCCAATCAGCATTGAAGCTTCACAGGAACATCTACAACGTAAAGAGTCATGTGTCATACTTCTGATTGGATTACCTATCCAGGACCTTCCAGACACCCAAGGCCATCTGAAATGCTATAAATACCCTCAATTTTCTGTACATAAACTAACCTTTGGGTAATGCGTTCTTTCCACATTTCGCGCCCTTTTTCTCGTGTACAAGTTGTCGTGTAGAGTTCGCCTGAGGTTATTAGAAGCGCTTAGAAAACAGATTCAAGCGTTCTTTTAGAAGATTTATCAGTATTGAACACTGATATTGACTTTTTTCCTTTAATATGAATTATTAACATGGTCAAGCATCCAAACAACAGCTTGAGACGCCCTTTCACTATGTTTGATAGCCAAATTATTAAACTCACTCTCATCTAATTCTGAATATGAATAAATATAATATTTACTCACAGCGAGTGCTGTTTTTATTTTCGTCAAGGATATTTTAGGTTTAGGTATACGACCTGAGTAAAATATTTAGAGTAGATTGGTATCATGATTATTAGATCCTACCTTATGAATTATATTCATAGAACATAATTCTAATGTGAGTCCGTTTGAGATAATGGTGTGGCAATTGCACGCTGTCTTCCTTTCTAGTTATTTTTGGTGCAGTTTACCGATTTCCCATTACGAACTATCTAAAGTGCTACGTTACAACGGATACTATCAAACTTATCATCTGTTTCTTTCTTAGTATTGTAGTCACATAATCGCTTTCTTTAATAAGCTTGATGAGAAAAGCAACATATGTTCTGTCTCCTTTTTTCACTCATTGTTGCTAAGCTATTTACTTTTTTCAGTTATGTATTTTACAAGTTGATATAGATCTATCTCACGGAATTAACAATAACATACTTCTAAGTTAATAAATTTCGTTAACTTTATCAAATGAATTGAGTAAATGGTTGAAGAAATCAACGTAGACCTCTATGAAACTAACCTTTCGTTTCTGGAGATTGTGGTCTAGAATTTCTTAAAAATCTCACGATTTAATATCATAAATAATTATATAGTTAGATATCAACACTTAACTGGTTATAATTAAAAATAACTACCAATGAAATCGATCGACTACATTTTTTGAGTTCTTTTTACGGTATAACAAATTGGATTAATGAAAGATTTGATGGTAATAAATAGTTGAGTTCATTTATCCTGCACTTCATAAATGAATCCATACTTAGAAATACAACGCAAAAATTATGAATACATAACTTGAAACTTCTCATGTGTTCAACGTAAACTGTGTACAAGGAGAGAAAGTTTGAACTGATTTTACCAGAATTAAAAGTTACTTCATTTGCATTGTATGACGGTAGATATATTAACTAGTTTCATTCTGTTGATTTTATCTGTTTAAGGAAAATAACAAAAACAATTTATTTGTTAAATATCTTCTTAAAAAACCATAAGTTCCTCTTCACTTAGGTGTGAAAAGTAGTTAAAATTATGAACTGAGTACACTTTGTTGTGAACGGAATCTAGTTCATAATAAGATACTAATCAAATGACAAATGAGTATTTAACTCTATATGTAACGTAAAACCTAACCCACGTTTATTTTGTTGTACCACTTGTAGCATGTGAATTAACTTCGAATCACGTCTGTTTCATTTGAATGTACAGATTTTTCATTAATTTGATAATAATAAAGTACAGGACTAACAGTCCTCCCATTCTTCTGTCTTTTCCAAAATTAACTTGTTTGTCATAAATGTTCTACAAATATAGAAGTTAGGGTTGAAAATAAGCTCATTTTACCACAAGGTCCCAAAAAAGTAAATACTGAATCGTCAATCAAGTGTCTTATCGCCTGAGCTACAGAATGCAGATATAGATCATGTCATATTTTTCAAAAATCAGTCACCATTATTAAAACTCAGTTTCATGTGAATGTAAAAAAATCTCACAATAAAATGAAAAAATCATGTGAATTGATAGTTCTTACTTTTAAAAGTAACCTTCTATATATATAGAAGGATATGTATTAATGGCAAATTCTAATATTTATTCCTTACTTACAAATGTCTCTGTTAATAAAGCGTTACATAGGATATACATATTTCTAAAATCATACACCGGCTTGAAGCCTTTTTAAAACTTTATTCAGACTTCGTGATCTCTATAGGCAAACAGAGGGTGGAGCGATGAGACCTACAGTACCTCCCATTGTTGTATACTTTTTTATGCATCCACTGGAGACAACTTTGACTTCGAAATGTTCTTTATCATCTAAATATTAGTTACAGTATGTAGATAACACCTTTCAAATTAGAAAGTGGGATGGATTAGATAAACATTCTGAACATATCAACTTTATATCAGATAGTACCAAGTTCAACAATGACACCCAATTTGTTGACCCGAATAAGCATTTCTTGACTGTTTATGTGAAATAACATATAATAATTGTTTATAAAGTGAGTATATTCCTAAAGTTAAAGCATTCTCAGAAGTATCCAGATTACAGATAAGAAAATGATCTATCAGTAAAATTGAGTCATTAAAAATCTGATAAACAGAGTTCATCAACTTGTTATGGAACTGAGAAACAAATAAATCGGGTAAAACTTAGTTGCACCCACAATGACGATAGATAACTCTCCTAAAAACTGTGAAAGGAATGGGTACGAAGAAAGTTTGAGAAAAAAAGAAGGATCAACGGAAAGAAATTATTAACTTGATGATTATCCTACACTTGAAAGAAACTTCAAGAGATTGGGAAAATCATAAAAACTATATTGATAAAAGTTTGAGGTAAAGTCCGTGGAAGGATGACAGAAATCCTTATTAGATCAAAAATACTAACTGAAATGCCGTATATGTAGGCGAGACATCGCAGCACTTGAACGTAAGGTAAAGGGATACGAACTACAATTGAAGCATATTCCCCGAACAACTTGAAGACAGAAGAGTGATATAATTATATTCAAAAGAAACAAGATAAATAGTCGGCTGAACAATAATCTTCCCGGGAGATGTTAAGTGGTCGCAAGCAATCTATAGGAAGCCCTATACCTTAGATTTTTGTTATTTGGCACTCGTTGGCAAAGTGTACCTGTAATCTTGAAGGGACTGATACTTCCTGGTGGATTCGAAGTCGCATATATATATATATATATATATATATATATATATATGGGCAAACCCAAACAACCAAGGGAGATGAGATGGGGTAAAATCAGCTGCATCATAGCAACTATTGATTAATAAGTGAATATAGATTTAATCTACTACTTCTGTTTGATTTCATGTTATGTGGGGAACAGTAGTGCACACCCATCCGTCTTAATCACTAACGTTTATATATGTTTTAAAAAACCAGGCTATTTGATATTAAGACATGAGCATACATTCATTTAACTTTTATTCCAATTACTCTCTAAAAAGTTTCATTTGTGACTATCAATCAGACTGACCGATTTTATCCCGACAATAGCTCAAGGTGATATATTTGACCAATGGTTTTTTGCACGCAATATCTGGACATTTCTACATACATTTCCTCGCTTATCACAATTTCACATTTTAAACTCAATAATTCGACCACATTGTTGAGTGAAACGTTGGATTTATCCTTGTTTTTAATCGCAGATATAAATTCCTTAATGTTCGGACAAAACATTTCATAATACGTTATTAAATATCATATGTTTTATTATCTATATTGGATCAAGTTTTGCAATTATCTGATCAGTACAAAAAACAAGACAGAATAATGTAAATCTTTTTCATTTCGAGGACTCTCATCAGCTGTTTGCAACCTGATAGTCAAAACCAAATAATATAAAGAATATCAAAGTGTTTTAGTGGAATGGGTGAGAAGTTTCCCTAATACTGTCGAACCAATGGCAAATTATTATTGTATTGATAATCGTGCGAATAATATCGTAAGAGCTGAAAATGTTTAGGAAAATAGTACATGTTTATCAAGCTAGCACCAAAATTATCAAGGTAAAATATACATTCACTCCTTACTTAGAAATCATGTAACATTAAATGGCTGCGTTCTTTCAATTTAATGTAATTTTAAATGCAACTGTGATCTGTTGCTATCAATGGTATTGTAGATATATTTCCTTTTCTAAGTGTAGTATTCTTTTTATTTAAATCATCTGGTTCCATATTACCATTGCGTATAAGTGGAATGTTTCTTGGTTCTGATTGACGCTCATAAGCTTTTGATTTTTCATGAATGACTAATGAGTGATTACTGTTTATAGTGTTGGGATCTGACTGTTGTTTTGGACCAAACACTACAGATGCTGTGTAAACTAATGCAGGTGTTGGCGATACGTCATTTGTTGGACATACTTTCTGTTTTGTTGTTTTGGCTGAATGCTTTATAGATTCTCTATATGGCTTGACAAAAGTGTTCTGGCCCGATTCTCGAGGTTCTTCTAATTGACAGCGTTCACTTACTGGACTAAACTTAGGTCCGATTTTTCTATGGTTTTCATGTTCTTGGTAACACTCATGATAACGTAATTTGTTCGAATATACAGAGTCATCTAACTTGACCGAATTTTCATGACGGTAATCTGATACCTTGGATGGTCGAAGGCTTCCTACAACATAACCGTTGTTTTTCACATTAGGTCTACAAAGTAAATCAGGTGAAGGTAGAGGTGTGTGGATTGATGCATTTGATGTAGGTAAGTTTCTTTTTTCTGTCCAACTACACTGAATGGCTTCTTTTTCCGTGGACTTATTCATTTCCTGAAGTCGATCATGTGCCATAATCTGTGACTCACTTGGAATTTTCTTTTTGAAAAATGAAATCCTTTTACCGGAAGACTGCAAATATAAACATATTATGTGGATAAAAAATTATGCAGTTATTCAAGCTGTTAAAAATATTAGTCATTGCTATGAAGTAGATTTGACAACGATGTATCAACATAATTTCTATAATCATGTTTCATTCATTGACTCAATATATATATATATATATATATATATATATATATATATATATATATATATATATATATATATATATATGAGACCAGATGCGTTACCTACAATTAGTATTAAACTTTATCATTGTCTATTGAACTCTTAATATTATCATTAATAATATCAGAATATTATAGATAGAATACAAGTGAAAATAAATGGCTCTAATTTAATCTAATTATTATAAATTTTGTTGAGATTACGAATGGACCTGATTTAAGCAACTGTTGGAAACCCCGAAGCTGTGAATGGTCACTTTGTCGAAGTATGGGACTTCTCATCAGTGAGAACCCATGATCCGCAACCGGAAATCAAACTCAGAACCTTCGATCTCACATGAACGCTCATTCGATATTTAAAATATGCTTATCTTATTGTAATTTGTGAATTCTTAATTACCATTTAAATGTTTGTATTAAAATTGAGGCGTTTTGATCTTGAACTGGTTATCGTCACGATGTTCTCTTCTGTTGGCATTATTACTATGAAATGATCGAATGTGAACAGATATAAGCTAGCCGAGAAGGGTTTTAAACCTGCTAACTTCGATTAATAAGGCACACGTGAGACCATGACTAGTACCACTCTCCTTTTACTGTTTATATTTATTCAGTTTAATGCTACCTTTCTTTGTGTCGAGAAGCTTAAATTGTAAATCGACTCATGTGTTGACCACCAAGTGATATATATATATATATATATATATATACTTTTGATATTTCATAAGCATTATTTTAGGTGTCTTCCTACTTAAGCTCAACAGTGACGAGTTCATAATTGTTGCTAATAATAATATCAAGTGAGTTACGTATTAGAAACATTAATTGTGATAGTATAAATCGACGACGGTTCATCTATCTAGATGGAATATTCACTATTTAACAGATGAGATGTATGGTCCTGTTTACAGATTTGATCACAGATCATGGAACTGGTTACATAAGAGCATATTAATTTATAAGTACACGTTGAAGCGTCCATCTTGAGCTTATATAGAGTGATTATCAATGTAGACTACTTGTCCTGACTACTAATCGCATGCAAGTATCGAGTACAAAACACAAAATCACTGGTAAACAATAAATCGACATAAAATACATAGAGTTATTATGAATACCAGTTGTCAAAAAGACCATATAGTTGTCAATAATTTTTGTGATTCACTGATCGAAAATTAATTTTAAAAAATAGCTGTCAGATCAAACTATTCACCTCTTGATAATGGGTTATAATCACTTACTGATCGATATTTTGTGAGGTCAACAGGACTGAAATTTTGATTTCTTGAAAATACCTTCAAATCTTTTGGCCTCGGTGGTTCAAAAGAACCTTCATTTTCGAAGTTTTGTTCAGATCTGTTCTGATAATTACACGAATAGGTATTACTGTTGTTATTGCTGTTAGTAATAGTAGTAGTAGATGTAGTAGTAGTAGTAGTAGTAGTAGTAGTAGTAGTAGCAACAGTATCATCATTATTGCTTATACCTTTTTGAATAAATAGTGTATCGGTTAAATTCTTCTGATTTGTAGAGTAATATTCGCCTCGGTGTGTATGCTGACAATTGATATTATTACCATTATTTAGTCCATTAAATTTTCGCTTTAAAATTATAGGCGGTTTCTCATCATTCTTTAAACCATGCTCAAAATGTCGTGAATAAATGGATGAATCATTATCATGATAACCGTTTGTAAACGGTAAACGAAAAAATAGATTCATTGACTTATTATTGATGGTCTTATTATTATTAATACTGTTAGTGTTACTACTATTATTGTTATTTCGGTTATATTGTTCTAAAAAATCCCGTTTTGTAGGAGACTCGTGGAATTCACAACAACTGCAATGTTCACGTTTGAAATTTTCTGAATAATGTAAACCAACTGAGTTTGTACTTTGATTGTTACCATTATGATATTCTTTTCTTACAGAGAGTCGGCGCTTTGAAGACTTAGAAAAGTTTCTGGGTTTTGGTTTACGCGGTATAGATCGATGAATAATGCTACTGGGCTCTAAACTACCAGTTCGATGATTACGTCCACTTTTATGTCCTACTACAACAGATGTATAGCTGGGTATATGAAAGTGATGTGGACAATCAAACACTGGTTGAACATCTAAGGAAGAAGTAGAGAATGAGTAAGAGGATGCAGATGATAGACAAGGACTATCTGTTGGTGATGTATTCATAGAATTGCTCACATCATTATGTGAATGGTAATCCATTTGTTCACAATAACAACAGGATGGGTAATTACTACGATTTACGCTGACTGGTATATTTGACGCGATAATATGATGTGATTTGCGGTTTGAAGATTTGATATGCTTCCGCTGATATTCTTGAATATTACTTGAGGCACTTTCACTGGAAACTACACCTTTACTGACATCTTTAAAGCAAACAGAAGTATAATGATGTTCGGATGGCTTAGCATTAATAATTTTGGAAAACGGTTCAAAAGAGTGGGCTTTCTGTTTTATACGTCTATATCCAGAAGGATTTGATACATCTATCAGACTCATATCGTTGGTTTCTGTTCGAAATGAGTTGGGTTTGGTGATTTTAAGGTGTTCAACTGATTTATGACAGCTACAATTGCAATATTTAATGCGTTTCTTAAAGCGAGGAGTAATAACAGTTGAAAACATGTCGTAATATTTCTCGTCTTTTCTGTGATTTCTTTTAAACTTTGTTCCTCCTTCTAAGTAGCATAATTGACGCCATGGTAAAGAATGTTGTACTTCGTTTCTTGTGTTGAAGGGTGTTTTGCCAGCTGAATGTTTTCGTAATGAAACTCTTTGAATTGAATCGATACATCCTAAATCTGAATAAGGTGAAGATGAAGATAGTGTAGATGACGATTCTGAATAAGTCGATGGTGAAGGAGATGTAGATTCACCTGAGCGGGTCAATGTCGTTAACGATTCTGGGGGAGTGTTACAAGATGAAATCACATTTTTGCTCAATGTCCTTTGTAGCTGAGAATCGTGTGATATGCAATGATTACCATCATGGTGTTCATGTGTAGATCTGCACAGATGATCAGGTACCTGTAAGAGAAAAACTGATAACTGAAGGGTCAACAATCCAAAATAGACAAATCCCACAAAAAATAACCTATAAACATCGATAACATCCAAGGCTTCAAACATTTTCAAGTGGATAGTTAAAATTAAATGACTGCTACCAACAGTTCAAAACAGTGATACATAAAAACCTTTCTGCTTCAAATTTTTCTAATTGTACACTAAATATAGTTGAATTGTTTCTGCACTACATATTTTAAACAAAACCAAGTGTATTGAGAGTTACCAGGTCACATACGGTTGTATTTTTTTTGCTGAGATAAGTAATGTATTCGTCAAGTAAGAAATAAAGGACAAAACTGTCTTTTTTCAGATACTGTTTAAACACAAACAATTAAAAATGTTTTCAAATAAATATGGAAAAAAATATGGGATGGGGTTCGGTTTTAATAAACCGGTATCCTAAACTAAATAACCCCATATGTTGATGGTTCGAAATATTCTTCAGATGATTTGTTTGAAAAATCTTTCATTATTGTAGCTGAAACGAGGTAAAATCTTGAGTTTGGTGTATTTTTGTAGCCGTCTAACCAGTTATAGTCACGATTGTCTTCGGTACATTAAATAAAAAAAGTTTTTGATGATGTAGTATTATAGCTTTTAACGTTACTGAGGTAGATATGATTATAGTATTACTGGAATCATGAACCGAGCTAAGTTAGACAACCATTTAAAATTCGGGAGCACTGGGTACTTGTTTCTGTTTGGTATGAAGTGTGCATCTTAGGACCCTGCAAACTGGGATCGAGTATTGTGCCTTCGGTCATGTCCGCAAATGCATAACCTCTAGACTACTGAGCCATTATCCAATAGTCTACACGTCTAATTTCGGTCATTTCATGATATCACATGACAATCTTCTATTATCTTTAGTGGATACCGTTCTCACACTTAACACGGTTGTACTCCACTGGTCACGACTTCTCACTAGAACATCTAAAATTTGCTCTCAAACCTAATCACTTGTGAGCACATGATAATTGTCAGTATGGAGTTGTGGAGAGCGTTAGGTTTTATCGAAATTAAGAACCGATCTACACAATCATAAAAAATCCGGAAGCACTGAACGGTTTTGTAGTTCTAGTATTGATTGTGAACTCTCAAGGTGAGGAGTCACGTACTAGAAACGGTCGTTTAATGCTTCGAATTTTTCAATGCATTTCTAACATAGTCGGTTCGTCATTTCAAAAAAGGTTTACAAACTTCATAATTTCATGCTGTCGATGATTAATTCAGTTGGTTTGTTTGATAAAACGTTCGGTGGATTAGAAAACATTACGAACTATATTACTGTTCTACCATCAACACTAACATTTGAATGGACAGAGTTTATTAAGTAATCTTTGAGATAATTAGATATTCTTTACGAACAGTAGACATATGGACCTTAAATATGTACATATCTAATTAGTCAAGGATAATGTAGGTATTTTGTCAATCTTTTAATTAGCTGAAGAGATAGGTTTCCAGGCATTTTTAAAAATCTACTTTTGTGAATTACTGACTAATGGCAAGTAGGAAAATATCGTTCTCCATAATTTTTCACTTTTTTCTAGCTGCATTCATATGGCTTGATTTTCCATTTATTTGTTCTCTTCCAGATGATTTCCTCTCTCACTATTCCAATGTGAAATATATCAACCTGTGCTAATTTAAATTTTATGCCATGTCATACGTTCTTCAGTTTTGTTTGCCTACTAACGAAAAACCTAATAGTAAGGAGGTGAATATTCGAAAGTGAATTCTGTAATCATTCAATTATCTTCAAAAGAAATTTGAATTACAAGATAGGGACTAAAAACATCTTGAACATGGTCTTCACTGTCCATAGAGATATATACTAATTGAGAAAACATGAAATTTAGACATTTTGTAGTGGGTATCATAAAAATTTCTTAGAAAACTATGGCTTCTCTTTACAAATCTAGAACTTTAGTAATGTAAACAAAAATTTTGAAGATAACCTACATAATTTTTCTTGTTCTTTTCACAAGAAATCGCTTCGAGATTTTCATACTCTCCCATAACATGACGTCTTTGTGGGTTAAGATGATTACATTGAACTTTAGAACGCGGTTTATTTAAATATTCTTTAATTGAAAATGAAGTTCCCTTTTGTGTCATGCATAAATCAGGAGGCTGACCATAAATATTTAATTTTTCTGTATCTGCACAAGTTGAATCCTCGTGTAGACAAACTTCTGTATTGGAGTTGTTATCTTTATGGTCTTGAAGGTGATTTCCTTCTGTTACAGACCTTTGTTCTTGATCCCAAGATTTATTAGATGAATGACTTGTCATAGATTCTACACCAGGTTGGCTATCAGGATTTGTTAGATCTACTGATAAACCCATAGTTGCTTCTTCACTTCCTACACTACAATTCGTAAGTATAAGATTACCGGTGGAATAGTTACCACCACTGCTTGTACGCATTTCAAAACTTGACAGTACACGAAATGTTGCATTCGAGTCAATATCTGTTGAACTTGCTAAACTTAGCTAAATAAATAAAGTTAAAAAATGTAATGGTAGTTAGGAGAATTGTAATGACTACAAAATTAGTATAGGAAAATAGATCGAGATTAAACTAAACTACAATTAAGTGCAGTTAATACTGTAAGCAGTTCGATCTTAACTAGTTTATGTTGAACAGGCCATTAGACAAATAATTACTCATTTTTCTAAATATATTATATTAAAAATAATGTGCAAAAATCAATCCTAATTCTAGACCTTTTAGACCGCGAAAGTTATATTAATTTGACACAAAGGGCCCGATTTTGCATCAATACGTTATCTTTGTTTCTGGATTCAATACTCGTTTTAGTTATAAATTAATCCACTAACTTAATGTACATATCCTCTTTCCTTCTGTATTTTCATTAATCAAATTTCATGTAATTGAATTTGGTTTCTTTCTGCACATAAAAAGTTTGTTCAAATAATCTCAGATTGGAAGTTTGATATAGTTGTTAATTATATTACTATTACTTACATCCTACTTTAACCAAATTTATTATTTTGCAGATTTATTTGAATTACTACCTGGCTCAAGTAGTCATTATATTACCAATGTTTTTGACACTTACAAGCACAAACTTCTATTGTTTGCATTCGTAAGGATATCGTAATTTTTCAATTCACGAAAAGTGGAATATTTATTATTAGGTTTTTTAACAAACACTTTTTGTGGATGCTAACAAATATTTGTAGATTATCAAGACAAAAGAACGTGTCCATAAAGAAACAGTAATTTAGTGCTGTCAAGTGGCTAGATTCGAGGTGGATTTATGTAGTTCTAGTGAGAATTTATGATTTCTGGAGTTCATTCATGTCATGAGTGAGATAGCCTCTCATCTGTACCATTGAATAGTTATTACTTAATACTATAAATTGACTGAAACTATAAATAGGGACAATTGGATTTCGACTCAATGGTTTAAATGTAATTCGTACACCTCGACAGTTGAAGGATTTGGATTTCATCTAAGGTGAGGTCGTGGTTACAAGTATAAGTGATATATGTAATATTGTACATCATATTTCTCAACGACGAATTCTATAATTTTAAAGATTGACAATCGATCCTATTATTGAGTAAGGATTCGAGTGTAACAGTAATGTCTGTAATTGTGATACACTATATTGGAACATATCAACGAATTTCCAAAAGTTTAGCCAACTAAAAAGTATTATTATTTATAACAAACATAATCTTTTGGCCTTTTAGATAACTATTAATCATTTGTAACAGCTATAAATTATTCAAACACATACCGGTCTATCATTTGTGTGACGTCTATCATTTCTAAATGCGGCTGCATTTACATAATCTGGTGAATCGATTGACTGAATTTCGATATTACGATTACATCGAACTTTTAATCTCAAGGCTGTTTGGTTGCTGTGTGATACTTCAGATGGATTGCGCATTGAATTAGAAGAAATATGATTTGTTTCGTGACGCTTTTTGGAATTTTGTCTGGACTCATCCGACCGTTTGTTAAAAGTTTTGTATCTATATAAAAGTGGAACGCATTATAAAGTACTAATGCATAGCATTATATTTTGCTAGAAGCAAATTAGTTCACTGAGTAATTTTTGTTAAAATCAAAGTATAGAATTTCTGTTTATTTATAAGTTACAGAGAAATGGTGTGAAGAAACAATTTCATTTTGCCTTATATAACTTTTTAAAACAAAGTAATATTATTTTTTAATAACTTGATATATACATATAGACAATTTTACGACATTGCGTAAGATCATCTTGTTTTTGGTATCTTTTAATGCTTCCTCGTAATTGACACTTCTGACAAGCGTTATATCCCCAAACTACACAACATCGGTAGTGTGAATTTGAAGACGGTGACATTTTTTATTTGGTTATTCCATTTCCTACCACTCTTGCAGCCTCTTCTCGGTTTACTGTCAGTCCCAAGCCCGATTAAAATAGAATTGATTTAGTTAGTAAATCTATCCCAAAACGAAGAAAGGAAAAGATTACAGAAATGTAATCTAGTGCCACGCTCACACTAATAATGGTAGTGAGAATGACATAGACCAGTTTTATGGGAGGCTGGAATCCGTCCTAGAGAAATACCCCAGAAAACACCTGATTATCCTGATGGAGGACCTAAATGTCAAAGTAGGGATAGATAAAACAAGGTATGAATACGTCATGAGGCTATATGAACTGTGATGAAGGAATGACTACAGTGAGAGATCGGTAGATCTGTTTACTTTTAATACCATGGTCACAGACATCATGACATTCCCTGGTAGACGCATGCACAAAGCTACAAGGATTTCACCTGATCCATCACATATGCATTAACTGAAAATTCGGATGGTTCATAGAAACCATAAGAACAAAGAGTGTAGCTGATATGACTTCAGATTGTCACCTGGTGGTTTCCAGGCTGAAACTAAAGACAGGGAAAAACGTTGGACAAATGGACAAGCAACGCTAAAAAATGTTTAGGTCATAACAAGCGCTAGACAAAGGTATGGATCACTACAAACAATAATAAAAAATTTGATAGAAAAACCAAACCTGGATTTTTCTGGAGCTGTAGTATTTATCTGATCTTCCTGACCTTCTATATCTTCTGCTGCATTTGACGAAGACAACACTTGTAACTCCTGACTTGCACTCAAATTAGGTGTACTAACACTATTTGTATGCAAACACTGTTGTTGAAGTAAAGCTTGACGATATTCAGCAAGCAAACGATGAGCAAGTTCAGTCTCCTGATTCAAGTTAGAATGAGGAAATCAATATTGAACATGACATTTGAAGGAAATATAAAATACGAAAGAGAACCAGAAGTACATTAAGAAACGCTATATTGTTCATGTATAACATCCATAGATCAAATATTTTAACAATCTGTATTTCACAGAGCAGGTTTTAATGAATATTTGTAAATCTCTCCAACTTATAGGTTATATACTAGGTAACCTCTATGAAAAGGACTAACGTATTTCGGTTTATAAGTATGGGTCCGACCACTCCTAGAATACTGTACGTTGATTCTGAGTAGTGTTAGCATTAAGGTTAAACTTAGGTTGGGACCGGTCAAACTGCGCTTCACACTCTACATTCCTGGATATGGATGCTCGTTTATGGAAGCCGATATAGACTTAATATAATGTTTTTCTTAAAGATACTAAATAATATTTTACGTCTACTGATGTGATTTGTTTTGCAAACAATTTTTTCAGAGTCGAATAATCTATCCGTGAAACAAAATTCTTAGCATTGTTTGTGAACTGCATGGACGATTACTGCCTTAGAAATGCTTACATCAGTGACAGTAAGTAAACCTATTAATCTTCGTTCCTGATATTTTTTTGTCCTTAATTAATTTTATAAGTTTAAGTGAAATCTATCCCAATCAGTATGTCATAAAACAATGTAGCATATGTATAAAGGCGGACCTCTCCAGTAGTAGATTATTGCAAGTGCACAGTGACGACAATGGAAATGCTCTTTGAAACATTGTACAAAACGGTATTTCAGTCCCTCTACTAAGAAAATAATGATTCCCAGCTGTTGCATCACATTGTGATAATACTTGTTAAAAATTACCTTTCAAAATAATTTACAATCCACGTCTTTTCATACAATTTATCCTTATATCTTTGACCTGTACATGTTACATATTTTAATGTATCAATCCCATCATACCCACATACCGGTATCACTTCTGTAGTTATTTTCGGAAAGCGCTTTATTCATTGATATATTTTACCACTGACTTATAGGTAAACTTCAGAACTAAATAATTCGCTCATAATGAACTACAGACGTAACATTACCGGTTGTAACCGTTTGTATATCCTAGGTATTAGTATCTAGGATTGAAATAATTTATCTCTGTTGTGATATTGCATTCTTGGGTAGTAACTTGGTGTTATCTGTTTTCACAAGTTGACTATGTTATGTATATTACTTTACATAAGAACTAAGATCTTTCGTTTTATCTCATTTCGTACTTGTTGATTAGCAAAACGTAAAACAAAACTAACAGGTTCATTCCTGGATGTAAACCACAGTAAGATACAAACACTAACAGTTTATGATAAATATAGTAAAAATTGAGCAAATAAGTAAACTTTATGACTCACTGTCTAAGTGGACAAAGTTTGGGCATCTGAAATGATGGATTCTAGGTTTGAGCCGTACGTAAAAATATGATTAAATTAAAGTGAAGAAATTTCAATCTCCTTTTTTACTGAAACCCACTATTCAATATATTATCATGTAGTTAATGGTAATGGATATGAATTATGACTAATTTATTTACAACAAACCGAATTGATAAATGTTTTCTTCACTTTGATGTACATCAACTGAAGTTGCGTTATAACGGAAAAATATAATAATGGATTTGATATTTGGATGATATTCAAAATAATGATGGACTAGACTGGATACTCAAACGATACACTACTATAGTCTGCATCACCTTATAAACACATAAGTGATTCCCAACCAACAACTGAGAGCCAGGTTTTAGGCCGCATAATGATTTATTTAATATGAATACAAGCAATCCACACACAGAGAAGTCTACAGAGAAATTTATAATTTTGGTTCTTAGTGAGAAGTATGTTCACACCACTGTCGTAAAAGGTAGATAAATTTTTGACAACCCATTGATCAATATTTTCTAGATAGAATATATATATATATATACTTGTGTTATTTTAAGAAAAATACTTGTTTGTATTAATTGATAATTTTTATTACTGTGAAACAATAGTCATTAGTCTTAGTGATTTTAGTTCAAGTTTATTTTTCTCATCTCATGTCAAAAACCTCTTATTCACAATCCTCTTTAAAAATCTAAATACAACTACACTATTCTAGTCAGTAAAGGTAGACTTACCTTCAAATTAGTTAGACTCAATAGTTGATGAATGTCAGAGTTTGTAAGTAGATGCATGGTGCCAGATGATGGACGTGGTATACTACATTGATCTGATGAGCTAGATGTTGTTAACAATGTGTTGCTTGATGGTTTATTTTCGATTTCTTGACTATTTTCCATAGTATCAAGTATATAGTTTTCATCACCAACCACAGACTTACTTTTCAGTTGATTATTAGAAGACCACGTATTAATCACTGAGCTGCATTCTCTATTAACGTTTGTTGAGCTACTTACTGATCCATTCACATCCACATTAGTTTGTTGATCGTTATCACATTCATCTTGTTGACGTAATGAGTGAGGTATTTCTCGAGAACTTCCATGATCGCATGATTGATCAGATACTTCCTTCCATAAGAGATTAGGTCGACTGACTGGTGTAGTTGGTGTTGTGGAAAAGTGTCTCTGGCAAAAACTATCATTCAAGGTATTTTTTATGATCTGACGCTTTCCATCCATCTCTTCTCTAAATGTAGCTTCAGTAATTGTTGTATGAGACATATCAAGATTAACGCGTGGACCGTGATCGAAGTTTGAGTGTTGATATCCTGACACGTTATACATTGGTCTATTAGGATGGAATTCGGTAGGTGATGAGCAAAAGTTATCTGATACGGAATTAACAAACTTTCTTGGTGGGGTGACAGCCAAACGATTAGCTTCGTTTAGTGTAAGGGGACATGGAAATAACCGCCAGGATGAAGAGGAAGAAGTACGAAAGTTCCCCTGTTCTTGTTGAGTTGACTGATTTAATGGCCTCGTAAAATTCCTCGATTGTAAGTTGGACAAAAAATTATTTTTTGGTTCAGAAACCAAATTAACTTTATTCGCGTTAGACTTATTGTATGTCTCATTATCTTCAGGATGTTTCTTTTCACTGTTATTTGATTCTGAATTTGAATTAAAATTAGAACATGATGTTAAAAGAACATTACTATCATGTAAATCACCTTTAACAACATTTATTTGTTTACTGCCGCTAATCTTAAAAGATGGTCTTGTAGGACTGGGTGGTAGTAAATGAATTGTTGGTGTCAATATCTTCGTCTCATTTACAGTTGTACTCTTTGAATCCTTTGTTGAAGATTTCAGTTTTTGTGAATTTGTATCATCCATGCCAGATTGCTCTAAATTCACCAGAACAATAGTCCTCGAGTTATTTAAGCTGGAACTGAGTGAACGTGAATAAGATTCACTAGCAGATCGTTCAAGACGTCCAGTCTTCGATGTTGACTGGTTATTTATATTTTGATGTGCTGTGGATGATACAGAATTAGACGTAACATCTAAGCATTGTTCCTTTTCAGATCTAGTGACGTGGCTTTCACAGCACTAAAGAATACAAGAACAATAGATGCATTTATTGTTTGTTGAATAAATGTGCAAAGATTTTCATCATATGAAATAATTACAGAATTGGTCAGTACGTTGAGCATTCGCTTATTTTATGAAATAAAAAAGTTGAACTAACCGACTACTATGAAAAGTACAAGGGTTACATCGAAAATCTTTAGTATTAAATTCGGGTAATTCTGGGAATTCCTAATACTTTTGTCAATGGATTTCTGTAATATAGCATGTTAGTTTAGATTTAATAGGTGGTACGTTGAAGTAAACTGTTGATTTTAATTTCCAGAGTTTAATGATGGAAACCAAATAATTTGTTAACCAGAGAAGAGAGGTAGGTTTGGTGTAACAACATGATGTACTAGCCTATAGATTCAATGTTATTAAAGATACACGTGTATTACAATTTGAAAAGTTAGTTGTAACTCAACTTTCATAAACTTCTTTTATTCTTGCCCATGTATACGCCCCTAATCCCTCTAAATTGTTTAAAATTACATATTAAAGTTGCAATAAAATAGGACTGAGATCTCAAAAATGTGCCATTATTAAGTAAGAGACACAACTGTAAATGGGACAGTTTACGTTTAATCTTCTCATTAGGCTTGTCTTTAAGAATTTGCTGTAAAACTATCATCAGGAGTGCTATTTATTACAGTTGGATCTCACATTATCATGAAAAATAATCAGATTCTGATAATTCACCTACATTTTCGGATGTTTGATAAGGAAGAGGAGCGGAAATATTCATTGAAGTTCCTCGACTAGTAGCATTGCTTGTCCATCCAAATGGAATGAGATTTTTGGCTGATGAAAACCAACGTTGAAACTCCTGAAGCGGATTATTTGATGAACTTAACTGTGTACTTGATTTATGTATATGTGTTGATAATCCATCAACAGTTTTTTTAGAATTATGACGGTTTTGAATATATCTAGTAGTTATAGCTTCGAAATCGGGCTTCTGAACATTGGCTTCCAGAGCTATTGAAGTTGAGGCTTGAAACCGTCTAGAAATAAGTGAGTTCACAAGATTAGTAATTTGAATTTCGAGAAATAAAACATACTAAGTAACCTATTTTATTGATATTAAGATTTGAAATTATTTTGTATACATTTTAAGTCAAAGTTTCGAAAATACTCTCAACAGAAAGTATACATAGAACAGCTATTATAAAAGGTAATATGTAAAATATTAATGATCACTTTGAAGATGTTAATTATAAAAGTAAAAACTTCATTTAATATTTTCGACTCTATCAACTTCGACGACCTTAAAATTCCGGTTTACGCAACCGTTTTAAATAGTTTCCTGGAATAAAGTTCTCAAATCTAAGTTATATCTTTCATCATTTGCATATTTGAAGTCAGTTTGTGGTAAAAAAAAGACTGACTTCAGCTGGATAATCATCGAAACACTAGGGGATATAAAGAGATTGTTTCCACCAAGTCCAAGACTTCATAACAGTATACACCGATGACCTTAATAGGAATTAAACGTAGAACCTTTAGGTATGACGATGAGTAAATTAATTTGAAACCAATGATAAATTCGGTTGGCTGACGGAGACCAAAAGATGTTGTAATGCCAAAATACTTAGAAAGTTTATACATCTTGATTTTCATATATTAATTGCTATCAGCTGGATTGTTTTGGCGCTAGGTGTACACGAGTTATCCCTTCGATAGCGAATGAGAAGGAAAGCAATCCATGACTAATTATTTTATAACAATTCCTTAGCTTACTACCATGCATATAAACCTGAGTACAAGTACTAATGAAACAGTTGAACGGCATAGTGAAAAACCTCCGGTATTTGTTTCGAAAGTAAAAATAAGTGTTCAAACAAAATAAGAATTAGTTAAACAGAATTTGAGGTGACTTTTCTTACTTCAGAATCTCTGATTGATATAAAGGTTTAAAACACATCCTCTTGTTAAATAAAGTGTTAATAAAACTCACTCTTTAAAATCTCTAACAAAATTCTAAAAATATTTAAATTGTATTTTTACTAGAAGAAATGTTGGAGAAGGATTGGTGACTTGAGTGTAAAATTTATCCAGCTACCAATGATCGTGTATAAATTAGATAATAATGTATTGTTTCATGTAATATTCATACACAGTTGTTATATGGAGAGAAAATGGGGAGGTCATAAGGAATAGTCAATTGTTTTAGACATAAAAATACCATCTGAATTTAGTGGTGATGTGATTTGATGTATCAGATTCTGAGAAATGTTAATTAAAATTCAAAGATGTCAGTCAAGATATCACACAATTGATGTCAATAATTAAGTGAGGCGGCCTGCTTGAGTATCTGGATTACCTGTTCCTGCCATTTGGATATTTCAACAAGTTATCTGTTTTCTTGTTTGTTTTAATACATCATTATGCCTATTAATCTCATAACCTATTCAGGTGCGTTTGTGAAAAGTTTACGACATTTTGCTGTACATGTTACAAAAGAGCTCAATCAGAGACATCGTGGTTACTGGCAATATGCATCGAAAAGGATACACATTTATCAGATGTTGATTCCTGAACCGCTAACATCTAACTGGCGACCACTCAATATTTATCGCAAGGAACTGATCAAGAAATAAGAAAGGCAAACTTGTTGAAATACTTTGCGCTGAGAATTCTATATTGTACCAAAAATATGATATTGAATAAAGCCACTAATAATAATAATAATGATAATAATAGTAATAATAATAATAATTGTTATATCCGGACGAAAATCAATGAATATTAACCGTTAGAAATTAGGTATGGATTAATATTATACGTATATTCTTATTTTATAACTATTAAGTAACTATATGTATGTTCATATTCCCTTCGTTATAAGCTTTTATTTAACCTATTAACTATTATCACATGATTTACTATTCTTGAGATATTCCCAATTTATTAGTAACAGTTTCCCACAATCTTGTACAAATGTTACACTATTTTTTGGTGTGATGTCTAACAGACTTTAGTGAGAACAACTTAATTTCAGGAGTTTAGTAGAAGTAGGAGTATATAAAATGTTTTGTAAAAGGATCGACAGATCGATTAAATAAAGGTTTTTTTAGTCATACTTAGTTTAAACAGTTATTAAGATTAAATCACAAATATTTTAGAAATTACTTCATTTGAGATTGAGGTCTGTAATGTCGTTGGCTTAATCCACTCAGTAATGGTAGAATTCCACCACTATTTGAATGAATTAACTCATGCCATAATTTTCGACCACTTGGGAATGTAGGACCTGAACTTGAACTTAATCCACGTGTATTTGACTTTGATGGACTTTTAAACGTAACGTTGTTAGCAGAAGTACATAGAGAGGCTGCGAAACCAAATGATGTTTTTCTAGCTTCGTTTGCTTCGAAATCAGCTTGCGTGATAGAATTGCTTGAACTACTTGAAGTTGATGAACTGCATGATTGATGTTGTGCAGCATGAACAAGATCAATTTTCTTAATGCTAGCTGTACAACTTGACGAGGAAGAGGAAAATGATGCTCTTGGGGAAACTAACACATGTTCCGAAGAGCTATCAGAAGAGGCTAGAGATGAAGGAGATGATTGTTCAGGACATACTTCCTTTTTACTTAACACGACGTCCACTGCTGATAAGTGAAGTGGGCTAAGAGGTTCACAGCAGTTTGTATTCTCATGTCTGTTCGTCATCTCACTTGTAATAGTTATGTTTGGTTTGATTTGTTCTTGATGATGACGTTTTGTTTGACGATGTTTATGTGAACGATGACTCTTAGTAATTTTATGTTCTTCAGTTATTTCACTTGTGTTGTGTTGTTTATTTTGGACAAAAGAAGAATCTTCATGGTTAATCTGCATTTCTTTATTGGTAAGAGGTGCCAAAGAACCACCAGTTTTAGAAGACGGTGGATCACTGAAGGTGATCTTTGATTCTTTTGACACTGCAGAAGTTGTGTTTGCCCCTCCACTTTTGGAAAGGAACCATCCAGTTGGCTTTAGACATTCACGTCCAGGAAGACATGTCACACAGCCTTTGTTTAAAAGTTGGGAATCTAAAGTTCCAGCACCGCTTTTAAGACTCCAGTGACCAACAAGAGTTCCGGACTCACTATCTGCAACTTGTTCTTTAAGATCTACGTTTGTAGTCGTCATTTTATTAACAAAAGTATTCTGGATAAAGTTTGAATTACATGAAACCATGCAAGTAGCTTCACTAGGCCTTCTTGGAGAAGGATTAATCCTGAAAGTTTTGTTATCACTAGTCAGGGCTGAAGTATTCGACTCAATTTTAAACGGATCCATTAATTTGCAAGGATTAATTAATCCACCTGAGTGTTGTGGATCCGCATTATTTGGTTGTATTCTTTGCGATTCATCATTGACTGGTTCGACATCATACTTAGTGTATTGCTGACCTAGGAAGTAATGAATATGCTCAAATTGTTTTAGAAAATGTTGACAAAACATTTCATTAAGCTTACATGTGAAGAGATTAACAAACAAAACCCTTGATTGAATCTTCCATAAATAACTTATTACACCACGTTTCAAACGGCGCCTGATAAGATAACAAGATGTCAAGCAAAACTAAACCAACATTTGGATGAGGTTTAAGAAATATTTGTAGCTAAACTAGGGAAGCTCATTTGAAACCGATAGAAGTTTCTGGATGCAGAAGGCAAGCTGATAGCCAATAAACCTACGAAAAAATATAATATAAACAACTATTGAACATTTTTAACTTGTTAACCAACAGTTTATCTAGCCGAATGGATTGTTTTAATTCTCCAAAAGTTGTTTCATTTGAGTAGTTAGGTGATAACCGAATCAATGATATTTTATACCTTGGAAGATTCCTTATAAAACCACCTGGGATTGGCAGTTAACATCATGATTAAGTTTCTGTAATTTCTCATTGTATAGTTTATTATCACAACACAAAATAGACATGTTGTTTTGTGTCATTGAATGAGATAAAAAAAAGTGAAATTAACTGCTTTTGGGAAATTCTAAAAGAACTTATCAATCAGAAACTCACTATTAAGCTCAAGAGGAAAATAAATAAAAATGTTAAGAACTTCCTTGATTGAATACTTAGATATTGGACATTCAAAGTGCAGCAACAAAAAATAATACTAGTACGGTCATTTTATAAATGTTGGACTATAAGTATAAGGTATACATTAATGATAAAACTTCAACGCTTTTATTTGAAACGTTTGATTTTAAGTTTCACTGGATGTTACCCAAAGAAACGTTGTTTGAATTAACCAGCATTAATTTAGAATGAGAGAGCAGTAATAGACTTAATTTAAGTTTAAAATACTAACATCTTTTTGGTACGAACTGAGAATATCAGTTTTTTTATGATCATGCTATAATTGAACCAGATGATCAGATTGATTCATAATTTACAGTATTAGTTAATTTGTCACTGTCATGCGCCTGCATGTAGTAAACTTAAAATTATCCAAGTAGATTACAACTTTCTGTCTTATTTCTACAAGTTGAGCCCGTTAGAGTAGTCACTACATAGCACTAGAGAGCTATTTAAACAATAAATGATACCTAAAGTTGAAAGATTCTGGCCGTTGTACTTCGGAAAAAAAAACAATTTAAATTTAGTAAGTGTCACACTGCAAAAATTAGTAATCAACAGATGTTTGCAAGCTGCAAAAATCAAATTGAAAACGTTTCTTTTGGATTATGGTTTTAAGCGTTTTTAGCTTGGTGAGTATTCAAACTATGTAATAGGATATGAGTCTGACAACTTAAGACAGCAAATGGATTAACACTTTTAACTCGATTTATCAACAAAATCGTTAATTAATAATAGTAATTATCAAAACTTTTTATTACTTGGTTGTTGAGAGGTCGATAAATCTGCAGCAAAATCATTTAATACCTAAGGAAGTAAAATAGGATAATATTCATCTGTCAAACGTTTTTACCCTGATCATTTAACAAAATATATGGCAAAATAAATTATAAATTGATAAAAGTAGACTATACATGTAATATCAAGCTATTTTTCATTTCAATAATTAAATAATTTTCATCAAAAATATATAAAAGCTTAGCATTCAGAGAAGAGACTCCATTTTTATGGGAATTACTGTCAAGCTGTACATTCCTTATCAAATCTGAACTATCTATAATGTAAAAAGTGATAATGAAGTTAGCTTCTTTAGAAAAAAACTAGCTAAAAGCCAGCTATCTTAATCGACAAAAGCATGAAAGACGGTCAAAATAAAATTTTATTTCATATATATATGCTTTTATTTAGTTTTATGTAAAGGAAACAGCTTCTTCATTATCGCTTTCTATATCGCAGATGGCTCATATTTGATAACAGTAAGTTAGTAAAATCCTTTTTTCTTTTTATTGACACCCAGTTATAGAAGTCTGTTAGCTGGTCATTTCATGTTTATTTCCCGCAAACTAATGTTTTTTCAGGGAACCGTCACCTCATACCTTATAAAAATCTCTTTGGAAATGAGATAGTTGAATTAAATCCCCTTTCAGCCATGAATTCCAAAGTTAGGTGATAACTGATAAAAGAATGTGAAACGTCAAGTTGATTAAAGTTCTCATCCCAAATGATAAATGTATGATTTTTACGTCTTCGATAGAACACAAAGCTTTTTACCCGAATTTAGTTTGTTGTGTTAAAAAAAATAACCAGAAGTGGGCCAAATGGCAATTATATCTCAATCTTATATTTTACCCATTAACTTAGTTGATGAAACTAAAGTGAACGTTCATGGTCTCCTCTTTTCTTTAAGAACTACTCCACCAATGAATGTAATAGCATGTCTTGAACACACCTAGGTATTCTTATTTCGCCGATTACAGGGGGTTCATCAAAAAAGAGCATCATTTTACGACGGATAACATTTAACCATATTTCTAACTCTACTTAACGTTCATCATTTAATGATTTCCAATTTAATTTTACACTTACCGGTGAACCAGAATAAGTACAGCGTAGTTCTGTACCTCTTAGTATATCTCTAGAAAAAAATAAAGGAAGAATCACTCAATTGATGAATCCAGTTTCAAATAAAATTCAGACAAGATGAAGGATATATACCTAATGATGACCAGTCCTTAAATCAGAGCTTTTAGTTGTTGCGAATTATAATTTCATCCCAATTAGGTTTAGCAGACTAACCAAAATCAATGGAGTTTAATGTTAAGACTGCTATACGACTAAAGGATTTCCTTAAGTATTGGAATTAAAATGATCAGAAATGCATTATTTCGTCTAACCTATATCTCAATAAACAATATGCATTTTGAATGTGGATGAAAAACAGATAAATAAAAACACTGATACCATTTGATAGTGAGACACCAAACTTAGGAAATATGACACAAGAAATTAATGCGATTGAGTAACGAAAACGATTTCTACGGAATCGCGTTCGAAATCCAAAGGCAGATGGATATTTATTTCATCTAGAGCACTGGATCTATTTTTGAGCTATAGCATTGAATAAATCTTACTTCTATCTGATAAAATATGCAACAAAGTTTCTTCTCTTTATTCTAGTTTACCGGTTGCTTCTGCTACATATTAAAAAGTCAATATGTAAGAGGAGATGATATTTCTCGACAAGAGAGCTTTATATTACTAGAAGTCAAAAATGTGAAATAAACTATTCTGTTTATATTTGTTATAATTATAACATTTAGAGCACATGGCAAAACAGAAAACTAAGAGAGAAAGTAACTACTTAGATAATGACAAAGGTCAGAGTAGTATTCTGAACTAAATTACCGAAAACACATGTAACAGCCAAAACTACAATTTTCTAGAACAAATGGAAAAAACTAGATAATCTGAGGTATTTACAGCAGTCAGCTAACATTTTAAGTCATGATATTTGGTTATTAATTCTAACTATCAATCACACCTCAGTAAGTGGTGACTGCTAGACTATACTATCTCAAATTGTTTACGTATTAACATTTCATTTTTTTTAAAAATGAACTAGTTCAAACAATTAAATGATGTTATACTGGACAGAAACACTTACTGACTAAAGCATACTATAAATCTAATTATGGACGATATCTATATATACATAGATAACTGGAAGTAACAACTTACGGAGGTTCCGAGATATGAACTGCGGGTTGTGGTGGGACCGATCTAAAATAAAAGTGAATTACTAAGATTTCTGTCTAGGAGATTATGAACAAATTTTAGATGATCAGAATAAAAAGTTATTGTTGAACTTGAATTAATGTTACTTGAGCAGTTCTATGAAGCTACTGTTTGTTCAAAGTCCAGAACAAATGGAACTATGAACCAGTGTAGGCTGGATCAATAATTCCACACCTGACCCCAGACGTGAATGTTCTATGTCCAATCCAGGATGTCAATGAGGTCACTCACGGATGAAGAGTTCCAAGCTTCAAAGTAGCTAATTTCTTATTTCCACTGGTTCTCCGTCTGGGAGCAGTTCGTGATTAAAAATCAGATTCAAAGGAAAGTTAAACTTGGACCTAAGGTTGTAAATATCGTTTTCAAGAAACAAAATTAATTAGGCTACCGTATGACAGAAGGTTTTCAATATATCACTATATGTCACGTAAGAAATCCAGGTTAACCTTCGTCACTGATACATATACTTGGTGAAGAAAAATGTGCAGATATATACAAAGTATACTAGAACATTCAACGAAGACCGTATTTTTATTTTTAAGATGATATAACACTATTCGTCGTCAGTACTTTATACATTCGGCCAACGTCTGTTTGTTTAGTCCATCTGTTACTTTCTCAAACTGTCGTTAAACTGTCGTTTAGTATTTGGTATTTCACTAGTTTAGTACTGTTTTGATGTGCCCTTTTTCTTAAGTAAATAATAATTGATATCATGACGTTACTAGAACAGTCAAAATATATTTAGGTAATTTGATCTGATCTCTTCGAGTTACTTCAATTTGTTAAAACGAGTCATATTGCACAACCAAGAATAATAACATTCAACTGGACTTCAGCTGATCAATATCTCCCCACTCCAAACACATCTACTAGATGATTTTCTTGAAAGTCTAGAGAGAAGCTGTGAATCTCTGAGTTAATGAAGTCGGGTGTAATGCGGGTTCACGCTTATAAAATCGCTAAGAGGTTGGACTATGCCGTGTATAGGATGACGTTTAAAATTTAGTAGGTATCATTACCGAGATTTGATCTGAAATTTTCGAATAAATTGAGCATTGGGTAGATTGTTATAAATAAATATTTGTAATATCCCAATGAGTAGAAAATCTCATTTTTCTATTCATTGGGATATTACAAATATATTATTTATTTATTGAAAATTTAGTGTTGATTTATTATCATACATGTTGTGAAATACGGATATTCTGAGCTGGATCTTTTGTGAGGTCGTACGAACATACAGCTCACTCCCCAGAGAGGGCTAAAACATCTGTTGATTTTTCAGCTGACAATAGTTCGGAATAAAAGTTGTTTTCAAATATATTTGTAATAACACCATAGTATGATTTTGTTCTTAAAGCCATACGTGTTTTAGTAACTTAAATGGTTATATTTAAACTCAAAAGGATTGTAACTATCCTATTTTATCTTTTCAAAGTGAAACATTTCTCATACATAAATAAACTAATAAACATACTTTACATGTGTCCAATAATCAATATAACTACTGTGCATCTGAATACAAAACTGCCATAGATAACGCGCACTTTCATAATCCTCCTACGGTACATTATAGAAAGTAAAAAAAATATTTTTCCCTATGGACATAAATATTAACTGAGAATAGAAAAAGATATTTTAACTTCTAAAATTTACAAAATTTGTGACTGAGTTTTCAATGAAACATGATATCTTTTATACATTATGCTAATTCATAGTGTTCATTTAGTAAGTTATGTATAAGTATTTCGAAAGTTCATCACTAACAAAAAAACAAGCGTTACAAATATTTCGGAAAAAAATAATGAGATAATAATGTACACACAATAATAAGAAGTGAGGAATTTACATTATGAAGCAATATCTACATTTAATTTTAATAAATGCTGTTGTTAGACAAGAAAATCACAACTTAAAGTTTATGCTTTTTTACATCGATCATTAGCTCTCCACTTACATTTTAATTAAAACTTTTCATCGAATTTACGTTATTCAATGTTGCTAGTAGTTTCTTGTATATATAATGTTGTGTGAACTATTTGGAGCTTCTGTGATAGTTCTTGGTTTGAATTATTGCGATTTAAAACACTGAGAAAACTTTATTATTGATTAATTTATAACTAGTTTGAATAAGGCTAGAACAACAATTGAGGCACAATAATATGAATTCATTATTATCATTCGTGGATTCTCACTAGCTGCTTACAATCACATGTGTATTGAAAAGCAACATTGAGGTTTGATATAATATTGCACCATTGATATTGATGACGAAAAGAATTAGGATGACAAAGGTTATCAATAACAACTATATATATATATATATATATATATATATATATATATATATATATATATATATATATATATATGACATTCATTTTCAAATAAAACGCAAACAATAGGTGGCGAGACTATAATTTATGGACGAACCAATCAGGTATAAGATAACAGGTCTCGGATTTCGGCACAAAATTCTCTCATCCATTTGGTTGGATAGGGTTTTGGCATTATAGTTGATATCAGTTCGTGATGAAGACCCTAAATCTAACTCCTATCCCTAACCATCAGCTGCAAATCATAATCTTTATCCTTCAAACAGGTTTATAACCCTCATTTTGCTCTAGTTAGTTGGTGGACACTCAAGGTCAGTCTAGCGTCGCTCAAAGGTCGTCAATAAATTGTAGTCTCACCCAATAGGTAATTCTTACAGCTTTGCCATTCTACAAAATTTGGATAACACGAAAGACTAGTTCACTTAGTGATTGCTTATAGAGTGGTTAGGTATAATTTGTTTCGTCACATGTAAATTCATATCCTCGTCAGCTTAAATAAACCTTGTTTCAACTTCAAACTTTTTATTAGTGTCAACTATAAAGCTTTTAAAGGAACTTTTAATATAATTATGTCTTATCAAGTTACAATCATACATTACTTGAGAAATACAAGCATAACTTGAACGTTGGTAGTTATAATTCATTTTCTTATGTATACATGATAAAGAAATTATGTAAAATCACTGATGAACTTACAAATATGAAATGAACGGACTTTCCCCTTTTTAACAGTTGAATAGTAAATGTTTTACGAGCATACGTAAGGTCTTTAATATGTTCCCATCTGTAAAGTTAAATTTGTACAATTTTCTTGTTTAGTTATTAAATGGTATTTTTATTATCTGAACATCAGTAAATTATTATAATCGTTGAAAAATTCCCATCACATTAAAACACAGATATGTAAACGAAGAAGACTTTTTAATAATTTCTCATTAGATTTTACAATTATGTATTCGAACTAATATCCCAAATAATTAACCAGGTTTAAGGCAAAGTACATCATTCAAAATTATAGCATGTAAATGATGTACAAATAAATAAAATACTCTGCATGAATAACCAGTTAACCGATTAAAACATTTTACTCTAACATATCATTCTATTAACTGTCAAGTGTTACGTTTTAAAACAACACGAGGAAATAATGATAAAACAAAACAAATTCTTATACTTAAATAAGGAACAAGAAAATCGATGACAGGATTAGTATTTTTGGGTATTTTTACCACACAATTATCAAAAAACTTAATTTTTCACTCTTTTTTGTTTCACTGAGACAGATCAACGGTCGGAAATTTTACAGTGTCATACTTGACGGTTAAACCTATGAGGGTTTCTCTATGCCCTACGTTTACTGTTTAGTCTACATTATGTTCAGTGACAACAAATTCTTAACGCATATGTCGCTTCAGATTATCTACCTCCAAAACTTTTGGAGAAGATAATGTTTACTACTTGTAACTTCTCTTAATTAAGAAAGGTCAAAACCATTGAAAAGATACTGTGTGATGTAGTTAGTAATCTTGAGAGATCCTATCTTATTTACCGCATAGCTATGAGAAACCATATTTGATAATTCTCAGTTGCAAATAGGCGTTACTTGACCAGGTGAGAAACCATTAGTTAGGCAAGAGTGAGTTTTCAAATTTATCCGGTACATAATAGGGAAGATAAATGACGTTACGTCGATAATAAAGTTTAAAAAGGAATATGATAACATATAAGGCAAATCAAATTTCATCCAATACAATGCTAATGATTTGGTGAAAGACAAAGAATCTGTATGTTTGTATTGTGATATATTTTGAATAATGGCACAGTGTATCTTGAGTCACTGATTTCCAAATGTCCGAGGATTTAAGGAGTTTTAGCTTCTGTAGATGGCTCAGAAAGATAACCAGTGATATGATTGTTCAATCTAGTACCTATATATGAGTACCTGGTTTCACACAAGCCATAAGCTCGATCTTCAAAAGAGAGGTTCACGATAAGTTTAATAGACCTATTCATCTTTTAAAGTCAACAGACAGTCAACTAAATTTGCTAATTGTCTGTAATTCTACCTTCGATCACAACCCCGCTCATCAGATGACTAAATTATGCATGATCAGTCTTTTAAAAATACATTCGTATGCCCCGTACCCTTATAAACTGAGTTTTACAGTTGTATTATTGGCCCAAAACTACTTTTTGTTTATCACTCTTACACTTTTTAGCTATTCACTTGCATGGATAATCTACAACTGGAAAGATTGAAGGATCCATGCAAAGTATTATAAAGCTAAAGCTGTACAAGAAATTAATCAATTTACTTTCTAGTTCTAAATTATGCTTTGGAAAAGATCAGCTCAAGGGAATCAACATCTTACATCTAACAGCCATTAAACACCCGGCTAAACAATCACGAATATGACTACAAAACATACATGATCTGTACATATCTAAACGGAGGATTATAGTGTTCATTTCAAAGGACATAGTGATTTTTGTGAAGTAGATTTTAAGTAAGAATTGATTTTAGCTTTATTTTCGTCACATCATGAGACACATCACGTCCATTCATCGGTTCTTTTAAGGTTAAACTTCTGACATACTTAGTGGATATAAAATTTCTATTAATTCTTAAAGAGCAAATGAATTCATTCGCTGAGATTTTACAAATACATTTTCCCTCTTTAATGTCTCACATCAACTCGGCGCCCAAATATTGTGAAACTATTCGTCCAAATTTAGACGAAAGTTCTTATCTATTAATTCTTGTTTATTTTTTTAGGTCTTTCTGTATAAGTGAAAACCCCATAAGTAGTTAGTGCCATCTTATTTAATACAATTTACTTATGATGAAGACCAGAAACAATTAGAGATTATCCTACACTTTAATCAATACATACACTTATATTCAGCACAAACAGAAATCATGCCATTGGGATACACAACCATACATACTGGTCTAAGAATTGTGTTCGTGCACACACGTACACATAGACACGCTCACTAGTGTTTCATTTAATAGAAATAGGTGTGTACACATCTATACAGTACAGTTTTTGCATGCACAGGGTAGGAATGAATTATATGACCAATGTTTTATTGATTTTCAGTAAGTAGGAAGAATTCGAAAGCGTTGATACATACAGTAAGGCAGAAATTTGTAATTTTCTATTTTGTTTTACAAATGACAGATTTTCGAAATTGCAATATTGAAAGTAGATATTAAGGTTGAAACATTTATTGAGATCATGAACAGATTATTGTTAAACCCCCACAATTACATAGTAATATAAAGTTACAATTTGTCGAATACTACAATTTATGTAGTTATTTGGAAATAAAATTTTTAATGTGATAATAAAATTCAAAGGTATTCTGTACTGCAAACTATTGTACATCGAAGAACCCTTTAGTTTCTCATTGTTGCCAGTTGACGTCAGTTCTTGAAGAAAACTACCTTCAAATCATATAAAATTTTTATCAAACCATCTAAAATGCAGGAACAAATTAACATTTGCATTAGTTTCAAAAACTTAAAAATATTTTTGTGTATTTTAGAAGATCCTTATGTATTTGACAGGAAATAGTGAGTGAAGTAACAATTGAAGCCGAATAATATCGATCCTGGATCCACTTCAGTTATCTACAACCGATTCGCGGAAATTATGTAGGCCATTTCAAATTATTTCTCAGTCAAATTCTGTCTTGAAATGAGATTTTAAATATAAATACATAAATAGCGCTGACAAGTTTTTCCATCTCCATTATTCAGTCACCATCGTCGATAATATAAAACCATCGTTAAGTAGGAATAAGGTCGAAAGTTATTGAAGGGAAGAAGTAATGTACATTGGATTGACGTTATTTCCCTTCGGTCCCCATTCTTGCTTTCTTCAAGTTCATGAAGGGAAACAACTATATGAGATATTAGCGATTAGATAGAAAGATTATGTGCCTCAAAAAACAAAAATAGTTGGTGCAGTGCTGCTTTTCTGAGAAATAAGTGAAGTATCAAAAGATACAACGAACTTAACTGCAGTACACTTGCACCTCAGTGTCAATATTCTGATTACTAAACATATTCAAAAAGTCATTGTAAATTTGGTTCGCTATGATGAGATTTAATATCCAAAATAGATAATTTATGAGCCTGTAAACACTAGAATATATTGCAAATCATTCGGTTTTATTGTGTATCTTGATTGTACAAAGTTTTAAATTCTTATCATTCTCCAAAAGATGTATGTTAAAAGTTGAAAAAACTTATCATGTAGTTGCGCGTGAATGGTACACGGCCTATGTAAGTAAATTTCAAATGGTGTGTATTTGAAATAAGATCCCCCTATATTAGCAAACCTTATAATTCATTACTATTCACCTTAAGTACAGTCAAGATCCTAATGACAAGTGGTGGTTTTTGAGGATAACCAATATTGTTAGTAATGAGTAATATACATAGTTGGAAATTAGACATTATTATCATTTATTTGAAGTTACAAATAACATTTATTTAAATAAAACATGATACTTAACTCGCCATCGTATTTTTGGGTTACTTACTCAGTAACTGATATGTAAACCATTAAGACATTTAATTTCAATACCTATATGCACAATGTTGAATATTAAAACTGCTATAAAAGTTTAAATGTCGATGGAAAACAACTGGAAATTCTATTTTACATCTTCACCATACCATAACACTACAACACAAAAAGTTCTTAAAAGTTGTACGCATGCATTTTATGTCAGTAGTTTCCCTTAAACTTTCTTTTGGTATTCATGCACCATTGACTTTTGATGCACAACTTACTTTAAGTTAGCGATTGTTTGTCTTTGAGGCTCAAACGTTGTAATATTAATACCATTACGTGAAACGCCAAGTTCCGCAACTTCATTACTACATGTCTTGAAATTTCAAAAATGTATACAATACAAATGTAAATATATGGAAACCTTTCATTAAAATGGGAGCCGAGGTTCCCAATACCATACTTCATCATTCTTTAATGTCCTATAACTTAAAGGTCGAGGATAACCACTTTTTTCAGCGTTCGGTGAGACTGTGATATCCTATTTCCGTTTTAATTTGTTTCGGATTCCAATCGCATCAACCAGAGTTAATTATTAATAATGAGCAAAGTGAATGAACGCTATCAAATTGTGATTACTCTTACAACGTGAAATAACCTAAATAAATAGACTAACTTTGTTTTGGAGTGTTTTTATCTGTTGAATTTTCTCCCACATTTCAAAACAGTGATAAAGTATTGCTATATCAAGCTGAATAATCAGTTACTGAGAGAAAATAAATGTTTATGGGCTTCATACACTATCCCAGTCGTGTTAACGTCCTTTTACTTTTATTAAATTAACGCAGTGGTTTATTTAACCTTCAAGGCATAGATGTCTATCATCGAAGCTCGTGAGGTTTAATTGATTATTAATTCTACTTTGCTCCATTTACTGCTGAATGTAGCCATGTAACTCTTAAATATTCATACTACGATTGCAGGTTACAGCTTATAATATGTGATGATTTAACTGTATTGTGTCACATGTTAGAATCTGTGAATGAAGCTTGAAACAAGCCAATCGATAAGTTTTTTATCTTAAGTTTACTAAACGTTATCTACAAAACGAACGTAAGAAATCTAATCTCATACAGTTAAACAGTAAGTAAAGTCTGAATTTGTTGGTGAACTGGTATACAAAATATTGATCTGTAACCACATCCAACTACTGCATACATAAAACGTCTGTCTTTTTCAGTTTAACCATATGTGTTTAACTAGTACTTGGAATAATCATTTTCATCCTTCAAACAAATGAATTTGTGAGCATTCACTTAGATATGCACCTAATGTTCCTTGGTGATTCATTATGTAAAGTTTTATCATTATTTCACTGAAGCCTAATGGAAGTAATATTTAATGATTTAAATATGATTAAAAAGGTAAATCTAATCAAATTAAAGCCGCACTGTCATGATGACTAAAAAGCACAGCTTCTTTATACATACATTCAAATTATATTCTTATTGTTTAATCTCTCACACTATCATTTATTCTATTATTCGGAATCCTTTAGTATTCATCTCATCGTATCCAGAGTAAATATTCAGCTTAAAGCTAGTCTTAAGACAGTAATAGCAAAACGAATCATAAGGAATACTGAAATTCTTTTTTTGATGAAATAAATTAGGGTAGCATGAATAAGTAGGGAGACTTAGCAAATGAAGTAAGCTTTATGGTTTTTATTAATCTATGTATCTGTCTGAGTTTCATAAATATGCATAGACGCTTTTTGAAGTAGGTGTGCGCATTCTGGTAGTAAATTAAACGATAAGCTGTAATGTTTTTCAAAGGCAAAATTTAGTTATGACACTTAAAGGTCATTTTCAATAAAATATACACACAAAACTTTCCTTCCATTAAATCAACCACTCCCTTATAAATCAAATGCATTTCCTGCCTATAAATTCATTTATTTTTTTTTTTCATTAGCACTACTTCTATCCGCTGTAAATGTGACACTGTCCTAAGTATGTGGAATGTATAAATGTTTTAATATTCACATAACACGACATACTTTTGTGTACTCAAAATTGGTTACTTAACGAAGATGTACTTCGAATAATTATTTTAGTTCTTTGAACTCTTTACTGAGAAGTACATTATATTGTGAACATTCCTAAAGACTTCGAAATTGTGCTTCATCAATATATAATCAAAATTTTTATCATTACTAATGTGAACAAGTGGTAATAAGCAGGTTTAAACTTACCATACCAGTAAATGTTCGAACACCATAGAGAGGATTATGTCTGATTTCATCTAGAAAATACCATATTGCATTGTCTTGAGAAACTCCTTGTAGATGAGAATAGCCCCAAACTATGTCGTCAACATATTCCGTTGTTGACAAATCAAAGGCACCAACAACAGAAATCTACAATAAAAGTCGGCAAGTTAAGTTTTCATAACATAAGAGTAAGGGAAATATTCATCATTTTCATTAGTTTATCGGAATACTGATTTTGAGCTTTTACATGCAATTAATTTCATTATTTTTAACATTCTTGATTGACTGCAGCACTTTTTGATATACAATCTGTAGGATCATTAAATACTGGTTTATAGAAGAATAATCGTTCTGCCCATTTACCTCGATAACTTCGTGTATTTCGTAGTGTGATTCCATCTTTGGATCTAATTATTGGGGACCCATCACTTTCCAGAATGAATCACAATTGACTGATTTAGCTTGCAATAGTTTAATAGTGGTGGATATATATGGTATTTATTACGGACATGTTAAATGGAAATAACTGCGTATTCATTTTGTAACACGATATCTAACTGCGCATGTGACTGTTAAATTAAATAGTTCAATTATGTTGTTTAACTTGTGTTAAGTTGTATGATCAATTCAGATGCCGTGTTCGTCAATCTTTGTGATATTCTTTTGTCTAGTTGTCCATCTATCTATCTATCTATCTATCTATCTATCTATCTATCTGTTGATTGTATTCCATTTTAATATGCTGATATAAAAATACTTGAGACACGCTAATTGAGACTCTGGGAAGTGTGTGTTCATTTCAATACAATGCACGTTAGACCAGCTTAATGCAGTCCTGTATTTATTTTACTACTGTAAAATTGCTGAATATTCTATTGTAAGTGTTATTTCTATTTTAATACCATCCAATTCAGTTACAAGAGGTCTAAATATGGTGTTACTCCTATACTACTTTTAGTTCAGTCAAGTTGTAACCATTAAATTCAAATATACCTTAATTATTTATTACTAATGTATATGCTAGTGAATTCAATTATCGAAATATATATTTAAGAACGTTTGCATTTTAGTTCTTACTTTATTCGTTTGCCTTAAGTCATCGGTTATAAGGATAATCGAAATAACAGTGTTACATTCAGTAACAGGAGTGTCAGTCAACTAGACATTTATCAAAATCGTATTATTTTATATCTGTTGCTACTCCAACAATCCAAACCATTTGGTTAATAAATTTCATGGCGTTAAAAGATGAACAGATAAATGTTTACACAATTATCAGTAATACATGTGCCTTAATGTTTAATTATAAAAAACTGGTCTAAATTGGTAGATTGCTTTGCTCACTGAAAAAGTTAATACCTTTGAAAACAATCAAGAAATATACTTTAGTTTGCTAAATCAGTTAGTTAAAATGGCTAGTGTTACACTTAAGAAGTGACCATTAGAACTTGAAATAAGTGAATTAAATTATCATAGGCATCTTGCCTAATTACTTTATTGTTAATAGAACGAGTGGCTTTAAAAGGAGAGCCTTTGGAGGTTAGGTACAGATCAACAGATTTTTTGTGCTAGTTTTTATCACGCCGAAAGTGAAACAAGTATCATCAATGGCAACGGATGGTGATTAAATTTTACCATACGTTGGCTGAAGTCGGGTTCTTAGGTTTCTAACTCAATGGTCTGAAAATATCTTGCTAGTTTTAGAGCCCGAAGCTCTTGGAATATATCCCTAGGAGGCTTTGTCTGCTCACAACCAATGAATTCGGGTTCAAGACAGAAGAAATGTCTGATAATTTTTTCTCAGTAGACTTCGAAATAAAGCTATTTCATGATAAAAACCACGTCAAAGCATCATTTTACTGGTTTCTGCGTAGCGAGTATAATGTAAAACATTAACTTAGGTACAAACTCCAAAACAAAAAGTTAAAGTGACGTAATAAAGAACATGATAAAACATTTTAGATTGTTTAAAATGGCTAGAAAGCACATATATCATTATATATACTGAGATAACGTACTTCTGAGTGTAAGTTTCTTTCTCTCCAGTTTGAAAGTGTAGTTTCAATGTCCACAAAATCTCCAAACTCAGCTGTAAATCGAAAAAAATGCTAACGAACAATTTTAGATCACTAGTCCTCTGCAATCATACAGTACCATGTCATTGCTATGGAAAGCTTTTAGCTAAAGAGAGCTTGTTGAGCCTTACACGTGAGAGTGGAACAAGTAAGTTCTGATATTCAAACCAAATGGTTTTTGCAGCCATTTATTCCTTGAAGTACATGTCAATCTGATTAATACGCATGCTAGTCCAATATAGAGTCTTCAATCTTTGCAAGTACGTATATTTGCAATTCTAACAGTAAAATGTACCTTAATCTTCGTAAGCATTTAAAATAAACAGCATGAAATCGTTAGCTCATTAGACATATTTCAAGACTTATATTGCATTATCACCTGAATATAATCAGAATTTTTGATCTCCTCTAAAATATAACAATCTTTGGTTCCATTCATCTTCTTAAAGCGATAAAATATGTAAGCATCATCATAAATACCAGCCTTCTATCTGTAATAGAACCTACTTTACTACGAAATAGATTAAATGGAACTAAAAATAAATAGGAGTAGACTGGAAGCTAAATTAGTTGGTGCATCAATTTAAGTTTTTTTCAAAATAGACATTGTTTCAGTGATTAATTTCAACCATTTGATAGCTTTTTGATGCTTAATGCCTTTTCAAGAACATAATTAATGCTACCTTTCAGATTTCGCATGGAAATTTTCAAATAAATGTTTTGAACTTAGGATACTTTTGAGAAACTTCTGAATTTATTTGACGTTACACTTTGTTGAAAAGAATGCTACCTAATTCGATAGCAAAAATTATAAAGTAAATCTGTAGATTGCAATTATTTTTGACGTTATTTGTAAATTGCGGCAAATCATGTTTCAAATGAATTATTGTGTTTACTCAATGTGAACTGTTTATTATTAGTACCTTATTTACGTTCTTAGACCAACGAATATATTTTAAAGTAGCTGAACAACTCACAAACTGAGCAGTTACTTTTCATGTTAAAATAACATCATACTTTAAATAGTAGCAACTGATTATGCCCTTAAAACATATATTATTACTTGACATGGTCACTGAAACAGGCATGGGTTTGATGTTTAATGTAAGATCATAAAATATCAAATTTAGGAATGCACGGAAATAAATTCAGCGGTATAAATACAAGCTAAGAGCAGAACAAAAGAGTAAACATCTGAATGAGAATCGTGTGAAGTAAATGATTGTAAGAGTGCTCACAATTCAATAAAAAAATTGCGTTTAACTATATAATACATCTCAGCATATTGTACTGACCAAAACTTTTCGTCACCCGGAAAATATAATTTACCTCAATTGACCTTATGACCAAAACATAAAGTTCATAGTTACGCAGCTTGGCAATTTAGTTCTCATCTAATGCCTCACTCTAAGTTATAACTATGTAAATAAACCATTTCTGTCCTTTCATATATAAACCATCGGTAGGTGCACACTCACTGTGAAGGCAGTAAGGTTGAAAGGATTGACTTCGATGTTGAAAAACCATATTACACTAGGCTCGTCGTGTTTTTTCGGATGATAGTTTCAGATGAACAGAATTTTACAACACTTTTACTGAGGTATATTTGAAGCAAGACTAAGTAGGCGTTCAACCTAATCAGATCATTGATTTACCACATTGCTTTTAGTGTGCTGCCTGAGTAAAAAAACGTATTTTCTTGACTTGTTGAAATATTAAGGTATATTTTCAAATTCGGTGGCAGTGTTTAGCCAGTTTCCTAATTAAATCTTGTATTTCTAGCTGATACTAAACCCACGTGTAGTTGGCAAACCAAGAAACTGATGTAATATGGCGAGATAAATTTGCAGTCAATCTATGTATTCTTACCTTGAAGGCTATATGCTTGAAGTTTTATTGCTAATTTTAACGTAACAGGAAGAAGACCCATTGCAACATTCCTCCTGAGCTGAAGGTAAAACCAGCGTCTTTTCATAAAATATAACAAGGACTTCTCACCTTATCTGTGGATCAGGCACAAACTGTGGATTATCAATAAAAAGCATGACAGTGAGAGTTAATGCATGTTGACGGGCATATTTGTCCAGTTGCTTTTTAATCGACTTATTAAGAAACAAACACTTTTGTTCTCCTGCCCAGTCTTCATAAGTGAATCCAAAAAAGTAAATCTGCAGTTAAATTTATATCACAATGAGTAAGTGACATACATCTTCTATATCTAGTCTCTGAGCAACATATTCTAAAGCATCTCGACCAGTAGTGCTTGAAGATACAGTGTACTCAACGCATGTGTTGTCAAGTGTATATATTCTTATAACATGCAGGTCTTTAGCTGCGACGTTATATCTATGTGTGCGCTTAAAATTTAATTTCAACGGCATCTGAGGCTAAACGCGAATACGTATTACAAACGTCATAATACAACTGGTGGTAAGAAATGACAATGGAACTATTCAAACAAAATCCTTTGAAGTAAATTTGGGAAAAAACGTACAAAGGCTTATATTTAGTCTGTTAACTTATATTGTAGTCACATGCAACGCAGATAGTCACAAAACTTTTTTTGTGGGCTTCAAAATATTTTTATGGCGGAGAATTAAATGAGGAAACTCGGAAAAATAACTAAGCAAAATGACGAAGTTTTGTGTCACTATGACAGATGCAGTTCTTGATAATGAAAAACGAATATCGCTAAATAGTCACTCGTGCTTTCTTTGTTAACGTTTCTGTTTTACCCGAGTATTTACTCTTCCTTTACTTATGATCATTCCTTCTGAAGCAGTAGGCTTCCCATTATTATCTACAGTCACTTATATCGTTGTTCCCTAACATTAGGCCATTGTTCACCCCTACAACATAATCTGAACCTGAAAGCCCTGTCTTTTCTAGAATTTTCATTTTACGGATATGTCACATAAATTAAACAACTCTCACTAACATAAAGAATCGACTACACCTTCATTACATTCCGTTTCCATGTTTCTGTCGTCTACCCGCTCCTCCATGTATGTATAAGTAGGTCATAAAGGCGATTATATATTTGCTTTTTATAGAAGGGGAGACTATTGTGTCCGAAACATCATATAAAGCTTACAGAGTTCCCATATTCATGAATCTAAGCAATGAGTATCCTGAGCAGTTTGAATGAAGAAGAATGCACTGGCAATCCCTTCGTTAGTTGTAACATTGGACGCTCGCTGTAGTAAAAGGACAGTGCCAGAACGTTTCCACCAGCCTTTATACTGCATACTGATCAGAACTCTACAAGTCCATTCAAAATAAATATATCTCTACAACATGTCTAGCCAGTAAGAAATTAGGGAGTAGATTCGCGAAAATAACTGTTAGGCATCAAAACCGGTTACATCCGAATACCAGCTGTGGAACAAGGACGCACTCGTAGACTCGTATGCTCATTACTAGAGTGCGCTACAGACAACAGCAGAAAAAGATGATAAGCCGTAATCAATGTCAAATAACTCCAACACCTTATTCATTCACAAGACGCTTCGATATGAAGCTAACTCTACAAGCGATGTCGTCAAAATGGTTACTTCGAGTTGGATTCAGTAAGGACGACTTGCTAGAGATGGGACGTTTTTGCATCTATGCAGCATCATCGATAAATAAATTCCAATGTAGATGCCAAAGCACGGATCGGCAAAAGACGGACAGAATTTGTACAACAAAACAACATTTTAAACCAAAATTACCTATAAATATGGTCAAAGTAAGAATTTTTAACACAAACGACAAGACGGTTCTGTATGGGGCTGAAACTTGGTGAACTACCGTAAACACTAACAAAACGTTACAGGCTTTTATAAGCAGTTTTCTATGTGAGGTACTAATGATCCTTTCGTCAGATGTCATCAGCAACAAACTGCAATGCCAGTAAACCAACCACCTTTCACATGAAGAAGAAACTGGGGAAACACGCTGGAGGTGGGTGGGACAAAACTTGCAGAAATCATTAAACTGTGCCATTAGGATAGCCCTAACTAAGCTTCCTGACTGCAAAAGAAAAGGTGGGAGGCCAACAAACTTAGCACGTCCGAAATTAAAGACAGACGTCAAAGGAATGGGTAGCCGAAGACGGAGTTGTCTGAAAAATTCTAGTCGGCGACCTATGCTGTATGAAGTTTAACTGGGATTATTATATTGGTAAAATCCATTTTCGTGCTTCATTGTAGGAACATGTGAAACATCCCTGGATGTATCATTTCTTCATTACTATAATATCATTATTTCATTGTATCTATTCCTGCTCCTATTACTGGTTTTAGTTTCGTATATTTATTTTCCTTTTTCGGTTCGCCTGCAGCAAATAACCCTACATCGCTTACAAATTCTAAATTGCTAGCAACACTTCTTGGTTTCACTCAACATTGTCTCGCGTCAGTTGCCTTATTTGACCTCTATACTTTTTCTGATACATTGTGAACTGATTACTTCCGTCCCATAAAGTCCGTTTTGAAGGACGTCTTCTGTTTGCCTTAGGAGCGTTTTCTATCAATTTCTGGTAGTTAATTATATTTCCGATATAATTATTGTCTTCCAGTTGATTGATCTCATTTGACCTACCTTTTTTTTGGGTAAGATATTTTTCCTTGATTATTAGGAATACTTTTTTAATAGTTTTGATTAGGTCGGATTAAGCTTCTATGCCAGCCATAAAAGGTACCGTTCGGGTACAGTAAATTTTATACGTTTTTACTTTCAGATCCTTTCCTGTAACATTTTGAACAACTTTCACATTATCACAAGTTAATCAGTGTGTAATATCGTCTTTTGAACTGTACAACTCGGAAAAATGCTGTTTCAAGGCTACCAATGGCACATATAAGTCAAGTAGTCGAAATTTCGATTCCATATCAGCTCCAACTCAGCGAAATAGACTGTCACCAAGAAGCTGTTGGAAAAATTCGTCATACTTTTTTCTCTCATTCCTCATTGGCTGACTCCAATCCAGCACTTCTCAGCTCATTCTATTTGAACGAGTGAATTTCGGTACACATAGATATGACTAAAAATATATATGAACCAACTTCATTGATAGACACTAAGCTTTATATATTATGAAAAATCAATTTTGAAATGATATTCAGTGTATCACAAACATAGGACCATGGCACATTGGCGTTCGACTAAATCTAAAGTATTTTGGATTTCTTGAGCATCACGAAGAAATTTTATTGGACTGGACATGAATATATGCACCACGTGTTACACTTCCCTGATGAGGTACGTTTTGAAAAATGAGTGTGCGCCACAAGCATCTGTTTGAAATTAAATAAAATCATATTTGCAGTTCCAGAACTACGAGTTATACCATATCCAGCGTGACTTATAAGGTTTAAGTCTTCCCTCTATCCTGCTTCAGAATAGAATGCAATTTCATCATGATATGTAATCACAACATGGAACCTATCACAAGAATAAGTAGTGATCATAGTTTTAAATGATTTATTCAGGTGAAAACCGAGAATCCTTAAACGCCCACATAAGAAAAATATCACGAGTTTCTTAGCTTTTATCGTAAAATGTCTGGTGTCATACTAAAATTCGAGTACATTTGTATCCGTTAAAAATTATGTTTATGAAAATATAGTTCAACATTAGCGTCTTATAAATTTCTAATTCTGTATGCAACGCAATTATTTCCCATCCAAGTGATCAAACTCTTCCTTTTCTATTTTGTGTAACATGTCCAGAATATAAATTGTGACCATTGTTGTTTGGTCCTATCATATCTATGAATCGACTCAAATATATTTTATTTCAACTGTCATCCTGTCTTATCTTGCTTCATTTTGGTATATTTTTCTTCCATTTTTCAAATACCACTATCATCGCGCATTCAGAAGACCTCCACTAACAAGTGCTATATTTTATTATTAGACCATCTGTCGTACGCCAGGACTATGAATGACATATTGGAATGTTTGCACGTAGTTGACACTAAACGTCTCATTTTTTACCAGACTTACAAAATGGGAATAACAACACTTGATATCAGCAAGTCGGTGAATGAGTGACATTTCAACTGTTATTTCAAGGGTCGCAATACTTTCTTCTTAAGCATAAGGGTGTTTGTAAAATAATCCCTGGTCACAAATTGGTTAACTGTACCACAATAATTTTACATAGAACAAGTACTTCATTGGCCCGATATCTGACTCCAGTTGAATTGCATGATTAATTGTTGTCAAAATACACATCCAGGCTACCTTCGTATAAAATTATTGACCTAAATCGCGTTTGTGAACAACGAAATTAAATAATCCAAATACGAGAATGATGTTTGAATGCGTACATTCCATACAACTCTTGAGTTGAACAGATAATTAGGGAGATGGAGCGAAGGAGAGAGTGAGAAATGAAATGATGCGCGTTAATCGATTTTTATGGCCAGATATAAATAGACTGCAGACATGTGATAATTAGGATAAGAAGTGAACACACGTAAGCTCATGTAAAAACAGTCAAGGTTGATAAGCAAATAATTAACGAAGTCGAAATGTAAATTCGCCTATCCATAAGCTAAAATGAGTTATGTGGGCTTAACATAGTAATCGACATTACAATATAAGTGTATAGATTGTACAGTGTGTTCGAAATGTTTTACGAAATATTATTATACATACCGACATGAACAGTAATTCATTTTACCATTTCTTCGGTTTTAATGGTTTATCTGTGTCTAAGCACAAAATACTTATACTACTAATAATTTAAGCTACTAACCAAACATTATTTCTATGCGGCCCTATGTAGTTTGTTAAAATGTAACTGTACTAAATCATTCTTGATTATTATAATCCCAATTCGTCAAACTCCTAAATGATATTTACGAAGATTTTCAGCCTTAACGTGGTAAAAATAAAGCAGGACTTGTAGAATCATGGTCTACTATGATATTGATACTGCCCTAATAATAGATCTAATCCTAGAGCTGTAGATTTGCCATGATATAACTGCCTAGTCCGTAAGATCTAATGTGGAAGTTTCATCATTGTTTGCACTGACTCATTGTATTGTACGGTCAATAACCTTTGATGGAAAGCACATTTAGTTTAGAGATAGAATAATATATTCAATACAAATAAAAGTAACGTTACATAAATATGATGACGCCTACAATGCCGAGCCATGCCGTCCGATAAACACCATTTTCAATGAATGTTATCACGTCCACCATTATTGACCCTTCCTTAGTGTTACATGTTGTAATTCTGTCTTCCCTGTTATCTCATGTTCGGCTTTGAGGATTATAGTTAGGATCCAATGCCACTATAGATTCGTATTATTCTTTTGGTAACCACGGTAGTGAAATTATCCCACGCGATTCGATATCCAACCAATGTCACGTTGACTCTGATGAGTGAGTGAGTGTAGTGTCACATACTTCTATACTTTTCC